TAATTAACTCGGTTACCCAACTTTTCATCACTTATGTCTTATGTAGCCTTTGGGATTTATTATTTATGGTACATTGTAGTTCTGTATTTTATGTAAATAATCATGTGTTTTTGAGTCTAAAAATAATACAAGCTACCTGACTGATTTCTGTGGTATTCTAACTTGTAAATTAAGAAAAGGTTTATTTTGTATGGAGCAATCAGGAAAATAGTGGACAAATATGTGACCAAGAATTAAATCAATGAGAGATACAATTAAAATGAAGTAGACAATGACAGGTTAAAGATCAACAGTAACCAATCAAGATCAAGGTCTACAGTACCAGCCGTGATCCATATGTGGAGAAATTCAAACACTTCACTGCTACCTGAAGTTTGTTCTGATGATGTTAGTCAAAAGAACAGTGAAAGCTCCAAGACCAAAGCCTTCAACTCAGGGGACAAAACTCCACTTTAGTCTGTTTCTCTATTTGTGATCACATTACTTTTTTCTCTCATACTTTCCTTATCTGTGCCCGATTCAACCGTGCTAATTGTTGATACTTCCACTTGATACAACTACATACTACTGTTTTTTAATTTTAAAGCAGGTATATTTTGCAGTTTCAATCTTAATATCTTATTCGAAAGACATACTTCATTTGTAGTGCTTTTAACAGCATATTTATCACTTGAGTTTTTCAAGATTCGACGATTTTTAATTCCTGATTTTTGCATAATTTCCTATGGCAGTATCATGCTTTTAGATAATTCCAAGTTTTTACATATCATTCGGTTTTATTATATTCAGATCTTGGCTGGTAATTGAATCCGGGAAGTTCGTGTCATCCTGTCTAAGACTTATTGCCTAGTGCACCTCCATTCCACTTGTCAATATTCTCATTGAGACTCGAATTTAGTACCTATTACTCCCAACATCAATAAATGAATTACAAAATGAACTACTAACTTTAAATAATCGTTAAGTTGTTTAACGGATGTGATGTTTATTAGTAAGAGTTTGTATTATTCCCATCTTAATATTCAATCTTGAATATAACTCGGCTGTTGAGTCATAATCTTCAAATGGTTTTTGTAAGTATTTTAAGGAGAGCATACAACTTATAGTTTTTATTGAATGTTACCTAATATGTAGGTGACGTTTCCTGACTTAAACTCTTAAATAAGGCAGTAACCCAGTAGATTTTCTAGAGTTATGCAAATATACTCCTAATAAATATTACTTTGAATTCTTACGATATTATGTATACTGGGAAAATACGTAGTATGTATTAATAGCAAGTTGAACTTTCGGTGTTTTTTTTTTCAATTTTTTAACATTTGTTATTGTTTCGTTTTCTCTATGCTTTCCTTCTTAGCTGACTGTAAAACTCATTCGGAAGATGTAAACTCAAATCGTAATCATTGTGATAAAACATTGTTATCTACCACTGTTAAACAATCATTAGCTGGTGGGCCATTTCATCGTATTCACTTTATGTATGATTATATTATTAATTGTGCTACCATCAGTTATAATTCAGATGTCCACTGTTTACACCCATTATGGGATTGGGCTATACAAGGATTAATCGACTCTAATAAAAATAGTAATAATAATAATAATTCACAAATGAATCCATCATCATTTTGTCAACACACTATTAATAAAGATCACGGAATTACTTCTATTGAAGATACTTGTCCATCATGTATATTAATACAACATTTACCATTAGTACACCGTCGAGTATTCTATGAAAGATTATGTTATAAATTTGTATTTTCATTAGGTTGGCTTGGTATACCATTATATAGACGATTATTATCTTATCAACAATGTTATTCAACTATGAACAATTCTACTCTATGGTATTCACAAGCATGTAATAACTCTGTATGGTTAAGAGATTTATCAGCCAGTAATGCTATTTATCGTATATTACCTATTAATAATTTAATTTATCATAATAATAAAAATAATTTAAATATAATTAAATATAAATTAAAACAAACTGAATTAATATGTTTATCAAATCAATTGTCTATAAAAGATGCTTTAAATTATCAATTATTTCTAAGAAATTTATTTAAAATTGATGATCCATTAGAATTACTCGGTGGTGAGTTTTTATTAAAATCGGTAAGTGAATTATGAAATTGTTTATAATATTCTATATTCTTTTCATTTTTGTTTTATTTATATTATGACAGAGGTCCTAAATAGATAGATACAGCGAAATAGAATCTTACACGTAGCACTAATAGTTGTAAGTGTTACATTACAGTAAAGACGAGTTAGTCAAATAGTTTACATTTCTTTACACTACTTAGATTTTGATTCAAAGCCAATTCTGATGAAGTATGTAACAAGTAAAGTTAACTAAGTATATATAAAACCAATTATGGTATTCAACAAATTTTATTGACCTTATCAACGCATTTCCTGCTTCAAACTAATGTTATTTTAAGCATAATATCAGTTTTCCTATCTTACTGAACTGTCATACCAACATACTGGTTTGAAAATGTCTATAATTACTTATCATCTATATTTATCTTCACTTAATGGGCAAATGGTGTCAGTATGATTTAATTTAATAAGTGGTTGTTTGTATGTAGGTTAATTTCTATAAAGTCAGATGAACTGAGTTTTACCTTTGGTAGCTTATCTATGAAAAACTTTAAATATGCGACTAATAGATAACCTCGACGTAGGTACTTTAAATGATTGCTTATCTTGAATACTGTTTTGATCATGAGTATGGCCCTCAAATACCCTTGTACAGCCAAGAGTGGAGAGAGTCAGCTCCCCCTCTCAAATGTTCTCACATGACCACGCATATGCAACCACTCCCAGGGAAGTCCTGCTCACTGCCTTCTCGTGGCACTACTGCTGTTTACGAAATTTAGAGGACGAAAAGCGAATGTCTTGCGCTTTAAGCGGATTGGTTGATATGGATGGTTCACCCAGGGGAGTTGAAGAACCCTAATTCCAAACCAATGGTGCTCATGGGCTCCAGGATTCTAAGGAAACGAATGATGCATGAACCTATTATCGGTTACCGGTTACCATGGGACTTCACCTCCTTAAGTTGCTTCACTACCTTGTGGATCAGATCTTTGGGTCGAAGTCTCCTAGTGTGGCTCCCTGCGGAGACCAGCTGCTCCGGTCCGGACAGTCGGACAATATCACAGCCCACAAATAAACCAAGTAAACTGTATGGCGCATGTGTATTCGGTCCACTTTTCGTACCAATATTTGTGTTCAAATAAATAAATCATGAGTATGAGAGTGAGAGTAAATGGGTTGAAGAATGCTGGTCGGAGGCCTATGCTCCATTAGGAGTAACAGGCGTAACTAAGTAGGTAAGTAATGAGAGTAAGTGACCTTCATTAGTATGATCAAGTTGTTATTGCTAACAAACACATCAAGTCGTAATGTATATGACATTACATAATAAATAGTAAAGATTACCACGTATACTAAACAGAAATAACTTCATCTTCTATCCACCTAATCTCACCTAGATATATGTGTACGTGTACATTTGCAAAATTCTTAGGAATCAAGTGAAAATCTAACATACTAAAACTTTTAAAATCCAGTTGTTGAGAATGCTTTTTTTCGAACAATGCACATAAGAGATACATCATAGTAAAATTTCGTCGGTGTGAAGACATTAATTCAATATTGTACTATATAAATCATAAAATAGCAACATTTAGAAGTTCTTTTTGAAATTATGAACATCCGTGACATAGTTTTATGATGATAAATCCCTATTTATGATAGAAACTAGTAGGTTTATTCTCATTTGAAACTAGCTCAGAGATGCTGTTGCTGTTATAGAGGATACGTATAATGATTTATATTGAAGACAGTTTTGGAATTTTTAAGACTTTTGAATAAGACTGATCTATTGTTGGAATGGAGTGATACAAACTCGCTAAATGATAACCTCTCACATGACCTGGTTATGGACTAAAATATTAATTAGAAATCAGCCGATGGATGAGCAATTATCAGATCCTGATTTCGTTGATTACTTATGTACCAATGGAGTTAAAATCTAACTATCAGATTTGATTCTTGTGTAGTAATATCAAATACGGAACGCTTGATTTATGTTAAATATAGAGATTAACCATATTTTCTAAACTGAACAAGTTTCCATGGTCAGATAAATCCCATAATTCTTATACTATATTCTTGCCTTGTCTACAGTTCTTACCATTACTTGTTCGTGATACATTGAATGTTTTACGATTAAAAAGAAAAAAATTGTCAGAATCAAGCTTAATGTTGTCGGTGGCCCCACCTGAACAAATTAATTCTAATATTATTCAAGAAATTTACAAAAATATGGTCAGTCCACGTATTATTATTATTATTATTATTATTAATTTTTGCATATCTTAGCTGTTTTGCTTGTTTTACTTCAATTTTGATTGGGTTAACTATTGGTCATTTAATGCTGAATTTAAAGAAAATATACTCATGTACGAAATAAATGTTTGTGTATTCACCTTTATGTAACATTTTCTATATATTATCATGATTACTCCTCTAATTGCTCTAACCTGAAATAGGTTGGAATGAGTTGAAAACCTGAAACTCAATGATTAATAGTCGATTTCGTTAAACATTGAACTGGGCTACCTCTCTCGAAACACCCAATTTCATATAGTATTTAGTACATAATCATATGATTCAAAATATTCTTAAAGATTTATTATTATTATTATTATTATTATTATTGAAAGATTTGTTTCTTTTTTTTTATAGAATACCATTGAACTTACAACCAACAACAACAATAATAATAATAATGATAATAATAGTAACAATGTAATTCTCAATAATTATCGTCTAGCTGAAATTATTGTATTATCCAATCGTTTATATTGTTTATTTTCATGTTTAAGACTTCTCTTAAATTACAGTTGTCCCACATTTATCCCATCATCTCATCATCATCGTCATCATTAGCAATAATAAATGACGAGAATTCCATTCAAATGAATCAATATCAATATGCATTTTTAAGTCGTACAAGTATCTGTTGTTTATTAGCCCCAATTCTAGCCGATATCTGTTCAATTGGTAATTCATATGATTATTTTACAACTGCATTAAATATGAAAATATTTTATAATAATTCATATTTATCAAAAAAGCAAAATTATACCAAAATAGATGATGATATGAATGATGGTTTAATTTGTGCAATCTCTTCTTATTTAATCTATTTATCTGCATTACCTCTATCAGGGCAAGGTCAATCTGATATTAGTAATATTTTATCATTTATTGAAAAATTTTTAAAATATTTCCTACAGCATGTATCATGGCGTACACGTGCGATAGGATTATTATTGTTAAGAAATCTTGTAGTATTCAATTTAGCAGCATTTCATGCTCCTGAATGCAATTTATCAACAGAGAATACTACTACTACTACTACGACTACTTTTACAGCCTTGGATAATTCTGTGAATAAACGGTTGAGAAGTATTTTATGGAAGTGTCTAAATGATTCTTTGATTGAAGTTAGTCAAGTTGCTATGTTTGTCCTGGCTATATTTATTGAAGTTGGTGTGATTAAGGTAAGAAAATACGGGGTTTATTTTTGTTAATTTTCAGTATATTTAAAACATACTATCGTAAAATTTGGATCGAACCAAATTCACTTGTGACACCAGATGACGATTGTGACAAGCTATGACGTAATGCGTCTATACGGCTCTCTGCCTTTTTTTGGTTCTCCGGACGATGTTAGTATACAATAAAAGTTAACTTCGATTTGTAGGAAACCTGTATAAATTCAATTATTTAGTAGGTGAATTATATGCTCATTGATGATTGACTAAGTTCAAGAGATTGGTTTTCCCTAAGTTCTAGCAGTACCCTGTTACGTGTAAAATCAATCGAGACAATAGTGGAACAGTAGTATATTTTGATCATATATATTATTCCTTGAGACGTTAATCTATATCATTCTCAAGGTTCGCCAATCACAACTCTACCCTGCATTCTCTATTTCACCTATAGGCTGGCGTCCTTAGCCTTAACCACTGACACGTACTAATCAATCAAATTAACTTTAAGCTGACGTAAGCTTTGCTCTTACGGATCCAACTGTATATACGCCTTTCTTTATCTCTAGTCTTGAGTCGACAAAGGAAGTCTTTAGCCAAGCTTCTATTATTATTATATTTCATTCACCCAGCATCTATCTCAAACACTAATGGTTTATATACGGACCTTTTGGACTACATCATTCCATAAAATAGAAAATCATGATTATACACAGGGAAGCCGTAAATAACTGACCAGCTATAAATTAGGGGTGATATGACGTATAGTAATTGTAAATAGATAAAACGTAAGCTTACAATAAATAGAATAAAGAAACATAATCTAGTTATTTAATAATTACCCAATAAAAATATAGACATTAATTGTCTTCAAAGTTGTTACTTCTCCAATACTCATTTCGTTATTACATAACTCATTTGTAAAACTCGCTGTTGAGGTCCACGTAATTTTCGTGTGTCAGCGTATGAAAAAAAATCTTATGCATAGAAGTTATTTATTACCATTATTAAACTGGCTCAATCCAAGTTAGTGTCAAGCATCCTAGTTTCCATAGTTCACAAGTTTAGTTTCTGACAAGAAAAAGAAATCAACTGTTTTCATGATGTGTTTTTATGGTAGTGGTCAGCTGAAAAGTCGTTTTATTTACAACTGTACTGTATAATCAAATAGTAGGATGTTGATGATGATTTTTCAAAGTAAAAACATCATGTGTATGAGTGTTTTTGTCAAGAACCACATTATGGTACATGTTGTTTTGTTCAATATTCTTACTAATTATTTTTTAATTATGTAATGTTGCATTTCATTTTTTTACACAACTACACATATGGTAATCCATTCTTATTGTTAGCATTGAATAGTGTTTCTAAACAAGAAACAGTCATGGAAAACACGAAATAAAATCAAGAAACATTTTTGTGAAAGTCTGTTCTTCAATTGTCACTTTTTATATGCCAAATATAACGCTCAATAATTAGAGCCTGGTAATAAAAATTGTCTCATCATTAGTTGCTTCTACTTGGGCTAATTTTTCGGTGTGTAGTGTTGATTATTATTTATTTGTCTTCTGTTTCAAACTCAACCCCATCTACTGTCTCGGTTTTGAATTCTTTGATTTGTTAGCCGAACAGTGACACCAATCGTTACACACGAAAAAATATAGCTTAAAACCGAATACATAAATTTGTACTTGGTAAGTGAGCTACTGTAGGGGATCGCATCATCATAATTCTGAACTACAATTCTATTTTTACATCATGCTGCAACTTGATAACTTAACCTGTACTTATCTATCATTCTGTCTTTTTATCGACTTATTCTTGAACTCATTGATATTCGATAATGACTCTGTAATTGTCTATTAAAGAATTAGTTTTTCACCACTAAACGTTTCTTATGATGAATTACAATAGCGCGCATGAGATATTTATCCATTCAGTTCCGCCTCCATCAAATGATTCAAAAAACATTTTATGTTTGATTATATTCATAATTAAGAAATGTGGTTATTATATGAAAGTTTATACATTGTGGTTATTTTTTTTGTCATATTTTCTCAAGTATGATAAGAAATGGATTACTCAACTGATGAGACAAATCAATCGACCCCTTCCAAATCAATCAGTTATGCATATCAACCATAGCAATGGTAGTACCAATACTCTACTAACTAATTTTTCAGACAATAATAATCATAATGAATACTCCATTGCTTTATGTGATCGTTATGCATCCATTTTAGCTTTATGCTCATTTGTTCATGGAAATCCACACCAAACTCCTGATTACTTACCGTCAATTATTTCAGAACTTGCTGATCATTTACATGATTCACAATCAATTAAAAAAGTTATTTCGTCAACTTTATCATCTTATTCACGTACTCATCAAGAGGTATGGCATGAACAGTCATTGAAATTTACACCAGAACAATTAGATAATTATAGATTTGTTATTTCAGATGCTTCTTATTATGTTTGATTGTAAAATGATTGCAAAAAAGTTACAGTGTATGTTGATCAGTAGTGAAGCAGGTATATTTGTATTGTGGAGTAAAATTTTGTCATTTATTTTCATTATTATTTCTCTAGTTTAAATGTAGAACACTGATATTATGTAAAGGGTTTGTACAAAATATGTACAACATTGATTCTTCTATCTTTAACTCTACTCTCACTGACTGTAATTTTTTATGTATGATTTGATTGTATCAATGACGTCTGTGATTGATTAATTTTGTTTTTGACTTCCTTATAGAATAAGTTATTTCATGAAGAAGTATTTGTAAACAAATACTTTATACATGGTAGATATTTGTTTGTTTGTTTGTTTGTTTGTTTTGTAATAGATTTAAATGATTCCATGAATAAATAATGTAGACTATTTATTGATTATTTTTTATTTTAACTTTCACACTAAATTAATTACTAACTTCTATTAAATATAATAGTTAATTGTATTTAGTTAGTTATTGCTCAGCAACAAAGTTTTGATTTATAGACTTAACTTTAAATCATTTATTTTATAATAATACCTGGTTTACTTAAATTAATGCAATTATTTACATTGTTGATAAAGCTGTCGTCTCTGTTTGATATATAACATTTTATAGAAGTACTAAGTTTTACATTGTTAAAGAATGATACATTATTGTACGTTATGTTTATTTTATGCTCAAATTGACTTGTTCGTTGTTTTTTTCATCCGAAGGAAAACAGCACAATATTGATAGAAAACTAAATACAAATTATATTTATTTGCGAATAGAACATACAATTAAAGACAGGCATTTCTTCTTATTAGTGGTTCATATGAATATGAATCTCGAGATCGAGAGGATATTTTTCTACTATTTTTTGGCTGAATCGTCAGCGTTACATGTCTTCGATGATGATCTTTTTTCGTTGCAGATGCGTAAGGATGAAATAAGTATTGTTATTAAGTGTGGACTAGATTGAAACATTCTGAAGCATAATCTTATGACTCGCACAAGACGTTTTGACGAGAAAAAGAAAGGATAGAAGGCAGATATCTAATGGTTCTTATCTTTCATTGCTGTTATGACTATGCTACGTTGACAGATCATTTCTAGACCAATAAGTTAATAGTCGCACCAAATGTTCTTTCTAATTGCGCACGTGAAGAGTGTAGGCTGGTAAGCTAATCTTATATTGCTTCCACGAACCTTTAAATTTTCAATAAATACTTTGACGCACATTTATTATGTACGTAATTAACTTCCTCGTTCTCACCGACACTTATATAACAATTGTCTTATGATTGTAATTCTCCTACTAACGTTGTACGACAGAAAAGGTATTACCACGTTCGTGTCTTTTATTCTCGATAAACGATAGGGGGCAGTTCCGTCTTTTCAATTGTCCAGTACAGCTTCACTCTTAGTTTCACTAGGTGGTGATGTGAGTCCATTTTGTCGTCTTCTGTTTGTGCTTAGGCCTTTAACTAACTTTCAGAATACGTTGTTGTTAATATAGCTCTTCCTAAGCATTAAGTAATAGTAACAACGCCAAAGTAGGGTGGGGTTGAAGATTATTCCAAGATATGCTTTTTGTATAAGGGCATATGGACAGTTAACTAATTGTATTTATTTTTGGTCAAAAGCCGCCCTAATATCGCACATAAACTCCACGCGTTGAGCGGAATTCCTTTTACTAATTTTCTGAAAACAAGGACAGGTTTAGAATTTGATTCATAGAGTATTAGCAGAACTAGTCTTCATAGTAGTATCAGCGTTTACTCCTACTCTGTTTCGTGAAAATCTTTTGTAAACCTCTTATATATTTCACGTTTCCTGCCTGCATCTTTTTCTTTTTAGACTCACCTCGATACTTTTCTTAATTCCCCAGAACTTGTTTAAATATGGAGAATGTTTTGCGAACATTATTGAAACTTGTGTATAATCAGAATTCTGAGGAAACCCTAAATGGTTTCTTCGCAACATTTATATACCAACCAACTGTTTGTAGGTAGTGGTAATAACAATAATAATAACAAGACTAGAAGTCGATTTTATTAATCTTTTCATTCAAAGTAAAATGTTCAACCTCACAAGATATATCGACAGACTATGTAACCAACTGTCAAAAATTAAACCCTTTATACTCGTGAACGGTCTCGAGCTATGTACATGTCTGATGATATGGACACTTGTAATCATTTATAGATAAGGTGTGATTAAATAAAAACCACTTTTAGCCTTCAGTTAAAAGGCCTATTCAAAGCTGTCTCACAGAAACCTAAATATTTCGCTGTACGAATACATGGAAAACTAACTTTTTACGTATCGATAAGCAAATACAGTCTTACTTTATAATGAACTACTACACGTCTTACTAGACTGAGCATCTGAAAGATAAGGAATCGAATAGTAATAAAGAGAATTCAACACATGCAACCAGAAAGTTTCGATGGGTATGACCAATTATTCAACGAAAGATATCCGCAGCTTGTATTGATATTAAAATTTGAGCATATATGTAATAACATTTTGGTTTATCGACTGTTTTGCGTATTTAACCAATAAAGACAACAATTAATCGTTTTACGTACCGTTTCACTGTTAGTTTTGTGAAAAGATAAAAATAGTGCCCTAAGAGCAAGTGCTTGACAATGCGTTATTGCATAGCCTATCAAAACTATAAGAATTTCACTCTTTAATGTCTCATGACTGTCACTTTTCTAATAAAGTGTTCCCTTGATTGTAAACGATCATATAGCGGAGATAACCACAACACCCCGACTAGGTAGCTGTAATAGGAGTATTGATAAACACGCACCGCCTCTGAATTAGCATTTCCCTCTTGGAATAACTGTATCCGATTATCTACAGTTTTGACTATCAAATGTCATTAACTTATTACTATCTCGATTTCTAAAACCTCAATATCCTTTTGAGCTTGTAATTTGGTGTATTCATGCTGTCTGCATGATTACATAGTCGATTAGATCGCTTCTTCAGACAACTATATCCCATAGCTTTCATCCATTAGAATTTTCACCTTTATCACTTTCCACCCAGCCACAAAGCAACTTCATATTTGATAACGTGATAACTTCTGTTACTTAGCAAACTTACTTCCCTGAGACAAACGCATCCACTCAAACCAAGAGATAAACATAATCGCAAATAATTACCAAACTAACTTGAATTCGTGCAGTTTAGTCACTAGAATGTCACCCAATTGACATGAGCAGCGATACTAGATCTTATCGGGACTGCAAAGGTCGAATGCAAAGAAACCAATTGGCTCATACGCGCTTAATAAAGAGACCCTGGATACTGGATTTATTGAATATCACGTTCAATAAATGTTTAGATTAGATTTATAGGTTACGTCTTATCCTCAAAGATTGCCGCGCGTACTTTCGTGAAAAGTACCATGTGATTGAAATAACTCCAACTTTTATGGTACGAACAAAAAGAGTAGAAAAGATATTATAGGCATTTTGTTACAGTTGATTACAAAAATCTATACCATTCTGTAGGCTCATCAAATGAGCAAATCACCCATACTGAACTCGGTCAGTAACATAAAGTAGTTTTTAATTTAAAGAAGTGATCTCAAAGCAACTTATTAGTATAGTTTTTTTAATGAACATACTGGATATTGAAGTGTTTCATCCCCTATGGAACACGGTAGCGTTGACCTTCAAACCACATTGGGGATATTCAAATTGCTTGTCAGTTATCATGTTCCTACCTATATTTCTTTTGATTTATATATTTAAGTTTTCACAACCTCTCTCATGCCTTGATGATGATGGCCATGCGGTCGATTGGTAAAATTATCATATTTGTAACATGTTTCAAGGTTCGTCGGTTACAAATTACCAAAAGGTTACGACGTTGTGTTTATGAACGCTGATCATAGGAACTGGCAGCTATCCAAATTCCCTATAAATGAAAAAGGAATGATGAAAAATACGTTTGAATCCATGTTCAATTTGATTGATAAACCTGATTCTGTGATCGGGATGTATAATGATGAGGTTCCTAAATGGACCAAACCATTTGGTTATGATCGAGAGAACTTATGGTGGGGTCATATGAAAGGTATTTGTTGTAAATAGTAGCATTTTGTGCAGGTGCATTTGCTTTTGATGACACGGATACGGGATTTTGGGTTATCCACAGCATACCAAAGTTGTCATATACGAATCTATCCTATGTTTACCCAAGGACCGGATATACATATGGTCAACATTTCCTGTGCGTTACTTTGAAAAAGAAATACCTCGAATCTCTAAGTAATTAATTTTGAACTCTGGTAATTTTATTTAGTACTCAAATATATATTTTTGGCGAAACTGTAAATTATAGACGAACCAATAAAATCAGTGATAGCTTGTTTCGGACTTTAGTGTGAAATTCGTCGTTCCATGTAGTTTACTATCATTTTGGTATCTTAATTGATGTCAGTTGGTGATAATGCTTCTTAGTTATATTTTCGACCATAAATTCTAACTTACAACTATGTAACTCTTTTGACCTTAATAAGTAGGAAGTTGTCTCAGCACCAAGTTGCTTAACGACATCCACAAATTATAATTTCACTGTGTTTTTTAGTTCAATAAATCCATTTCTTATAGAAAGATAGTTGATTATGAGATCCAAAAATTCCCTTCGAGTTCAAATATCCTTTTTGTAATACTATATTTGCAACCTGATAAGGTACCAAGTAAAGTTTTAGGTGATTGTTTTGTACACATTAAAATGGTACACTGATAAATACAGTTAAGCACGGATAAATTCAAAAATGGTATCGGAAAAAGCACGACGACTATCAAATAAGGAAAAGTTTATTAAGACGAACAGATTAACTAATAGGATTAAAATGTTCATCTGTCTCATCATTTGTTTGGTTTTACATTTACTTCAAATAGCAAAGATTTACATAGGGATATAATAAAAGGATTTTATTAATTTATTTGAACAAATAAATATTGGTACAAGGGGGTGCCAAATATGTATGCGCCACACAAAACAATGGAACTGGGAAGAGAAAAAAAAGTAAGGTGCATATAAGGAAAAAAAAATGTAAGGTGCGTATAAGGAAAAAAAGAACAATAACGACCACAGCTTAGTGTAAGGTAGTGTAATAGTAATAATAGTAATGGGGGAAACGGAAAGGTACAATCAGAAGAAATATTTCAGTTAAGGAAGATACAACCACTTTTTATGAATAAAGTAAAAGAAGGTTACAGCAGGATCGCCACTGGCTTCTATTCTGAGCCATATCTGATAACGTCTCTAGCCACTATGTTGCACCATCTCTCGGACCCCAGCCAGGGAGTCGTGAAGGACCAACAAAAACCAGTCCTGCGCAGCTTTCTTTTATATCCCGACACCATGTCATACAATGACCACTCTCCGCTTTTTCCAACCAGTCTCAGCGTCTGAAAATAATGCTCGACGTGGAATTCGCTGGGACGACATTCGTAGAACATGTCCTAGCCACTGAAGTCGGTGTTTCACTATGGTGCCATCAATTGGATTATCGTTTCTGTGCCCGAACACACGATACCGAACCTCTGCATTACTAACATGGTGTTGCCACTGGATGTCAGCAATCCTTCGGAGACAGCGATAATCCAACACAGAGTCGTCTAACATCCTCAACTCGGGGAGGCCAGGTTTCACAAGCATAGAGCAGAACTGCTCTAACCAACGCATTGTATATCCGACGTTTTACAGCCAGACTAACATCACGAAGGCGCCAAAGATGGCCCAGATTGGCATAAGCCGCTCTGGCTTTCACTATACGTGCATTGATCTCATCACTCACCCCACCACCAGCACTTATGCAGCTAACTAGATACACGAACTTCTCGACTACTTCTATCTGATCACCATCCAGAGTGAGTACAGGATTAGAATCCTGCCAGTCTTGTAGGAGTACTTTGCACTTCGAAGGTGCAATGCATATACCATACCTACGGACACTGATTGCCAACTGATTAAGTGCGGATTGCATAGCTTGGGCATTATCGCACAGTAAGACAATATCATCCGCATACTCAAGGTCGAGAAGTCTTTCTCCAGGCAACAGATCCACACCGCCATTACTTACATCCATCAGAGCTGTTTCCAGAATGCCATCGATAGCAAAGTTGAAGAGGAATGGTGAGATTGGGCAACCCTGCCTAACTCCATTGCTTGAATGGAACAATGGAGAGAGGTGGTTGTATGCCCTCACTCTGCCTGAGGTGTTTGTGTATAGGGCTTTTAGGATGTTAATAAACTTCTCAGGCACACCCCTCTTCAATAGACAATCCCAGAGAACAGTCCTATCCAACGAATCGAAGGCAGCCCTGATGTCAAGAAACACTACGATTGTTGGCCTTTGATAAGTATGGCGGTGTTCTAACATTTGGCAGAGGGTGAAGATATGATCAATACATCCTCGACCAGAACGAAACCCAGCCTGCTCCTCGCGAGTCAATCTTTCACGGGTTTTGAACAACCTACGAAGTATGACGGAAGCCAATAGCTTGGACGCAATCGGAAGTAGACTTATCCCGCGATAGTTGTTACAGGAACAACGTGAACCCTTTTTAAAGATAGGGACAACTATCGACTTATTCCATGACGTTGGTACACACTCTAGTTCCCAGACCTTTGTAAACAACGTCGTCAGTCCCTTAGTCAGAAAGTCACCACCATCTTTAAAAAGAGCCGGAGGTAAGTCGTCTGGGCCCGGTGATTTGTAACGTTTCAAGAGTTGGAGTTTCCTGCGGGCTTCCGCCTCATTTGGTGGATCAGTCGTCACTGGCCATGGAGGGCAGGACAGTCTGACCGATGTTGCCGGAGCAGCAGGCCAGTTGAACTGAACTGCTCTTCGAAGAATTCTGCCCATCGTCCAAGACGTCGATGGATGTTAGTGATTGGCGTTCCGTCATCCTCGCAGATTGTTTCGCTCACACCAGACTTCTTGCTGCCAGTGGCTCGGATGAGTTGGAAGAGCTTCCGGTAATTACCAGATGCAGCTGCTGCTTCCAGCTCATTAGCACGCTCCGACCACCAGGCTTCACGGTCCTTACGCAAGCTTTGCCCGATTTCATTACGTAACATCCTTCGTCTGTGGTCAAACTCACGGTCACCCGGAGTAGACCGACGGGCTTCAATCAGTTGTAAGGAACCAGAAGAAACCCAGTGCTTGTAAGGGGGACGTTTCGTGAACCCACAACTGGCTTGACCCGCCATTTTCATGGCGTCATGCAATTGCAACCAATGCTCATCTATACTTTTCGGTGGAATGGTAGCTAGCCTAGAAGCTAGCTCGGTTCGATACTTACTAGCAACAGAAGCTGCAACCAGCTTGCTAACATCAATCCTGTGGTGGCGGTCACTTCGTTGTCCACTGAAAAGTAAGGTAAGATTGACGCGGACCAGAGCATGATCAGATTCCAGATAGGTGCTCCAAAAGGAGCGGCAGTCTTGTACACAACCACGTCAGCGGTATCTGATCGCGATGTGATCAATCTGAGTCCAGGTCTGAGATCCAGAAGTCCAGGAACATGCCACACACTAAATCCTCTAAGTTGGAACATATACCATTATTCTTATCAACCTCCAAATAACTCTCTGATTTACTCTATGTATTTCTGTTTAGTGAGTAAACTGTGTGCTACCAAAAACTTTGAACAACTTATTATCAAGATGCTGGAGCAAATAGATTGCTTAGTCTGTACAGGTTTGCTACAAATATATCGTACGCTAAAGAGACTATCTAGGTAAATTACTTACCTTCGGTAGATTGGACTCGAATTCAGACGTGTGATTTTATAGTTTAAAGACAGATGTCTGTGTTTGGTCTTCTCTTGAGCGAGTCACTTGATGGCAATAAAAACAGCTTTTCCGGCATTTGGTCTCAAGAGCTGATTAATCTGCGAGACGTCCTTTAAAACACAGTGTATGTTAGTCTTATTTGTAAGAACAGAATCATGTACCAGGTCTAACATAACTTATCGCCATTCTGTATTTCATTATTAAGTTACTTTTGATCTACAATACGAAAGTGTAAAACGATTGTGACTTTTCAGGTCTTTTGTTGCAAAAATGTCATGTATGGTTAGATTTACGTGAACAACAATCATTTATATTTCTTACAAGAAACCTCAGTTACTTATTTAGTAAAATTTTGAAGTTTGTACACAGGTTTTTAGTGTAAATCTTAACAGAACTGTATCAACATTGGTGGACATATTCTTGTGCGTCTTCATAAAAGTTAATATTAGTGACCATAATTTTCTAAACCTGGATATTGTACCAAACACAGTGAATCCTGACATCCAAGTGATAATTTACTATAACTCTCAGATTATTACTATCTAAGACTGAAGGCAAGAGTGTTTTTCCAGTTTCATAGTTAGTGCTGCCTATGCACCGATCGGGCATGAGGACGCAGCTACATTGATGGGTGCTTATCATATCTGAAATTAGCTTATCTGGAAATTGAAACCAACTTGTAGTGTACTTACATCGTGATTCATTTACTGGGAAGTTACTTTGTTATCTAAAATTCAGTTCGATTGAGGACTTATGTCAATCATTCGGTCTTATAAGCAGTTATTACTCGACTATACTGTATCATCGTACATTAATGGTCAGTTGGTGCATTCCATTCAGTGTCAGATATTTAATGGATTCTTTTTGAGTTCTATTCTGTGGATAGGTGATTTTTTAGTTCAGCACTGAAATACACTAGCTGAGTAACATTCCGAATATTTTTGTAACATAGCAGTTACGAAAATTACACGTCTCAGTAACTAGGGCTGTAGCTCACTTGATCCTGTTGACATTTCCTCATTTAAACAGTTTAATGCCTTTAGTACGTTGTGCTTGTTAACGTCTACATTAAGTAAACCATTTCGTGACTTTTCTTCTTGAAGTAATTCTATGTTGAGAGAGAGCTCACAATTAAATACATTTCCAAGTTGGTTGGTTATACCATCTGACTTGCATTTGACCTATTATATCACGCATGCAACAATAAACATTATGAAGTGAAAACGATGGGCATTTTGACTTGTGAAAACACGTTTCGTTTAGAAAACCAAGCGATAGAAACCTTAGGTCTCTCAATGAGATATATACGATATGAAAACAGGGAAACAACTTGAGTGGTGTGTTTTGCAAACGTCGCTGCTGGTAATGCTCTGAGTGGTAAAAACCTGATGGCTGGTGTTGTCTTCACACACAGTAATGGGTTTCGTAGAGAGTGATCCCTCTTTACTAGTCTGGCAGCTTCTAGAGACGATTCAAAGAATAAATTGGACGTTGCTTTTCTTGATCCGTTTCCGCTTTACGCAGTTTGTGGGAACTCAAGGACTGTTATCATTCTTGATAAAAGTTTTTGTTATATGAGGATGACTTTACACCAAATACTTTTTGATGGAAAGTTTTTTCAGGTCATATAGTGTCACTACGTTTATTTTTTAATGTTTGTGAGCGGTCAAATCTTTTGTTCACTGACTCCTATGTTAATGTAGTTAACCTGGTACTTTAGAGTAGCATTGAAGCGACCTTTGTTAACTTCAAAATGAAATGAAACCGCTAGAATCAATACATGAAATAATACTGTTCGGAGCCTTTTTATTTGTTTATCAGCGTGGTGTACAACAACAAAAATTAGTACATCTTAAATTTTATGTGCAGTATGGATATCCCCTCTTTTCATTATTTTTCATGTAAAAAAGTCTATTTGGTTGAAATTCTTAGTGTTAAAACTTCCCAAAAAGTATCACTTCTCTTCAAAAGTTGTAAAGGTACGTTTTCGGTATCTAGTAATAATGTGTATTTTATCTCATTTTTGTTGTTTTTATAATTCTCATGCATTTAAAAGGGCTTTTAACATTATGCCACATCAATCTATCATTACCAGTTGATCCATTACATTCACCCTTATTTGATCTACTTTTTTAAAATGAAATAAATGAGATTTAACATAATTCATAGGTCTAGTAGAATCTACGTTTCTAGACTTTCATTCAGATTTATCTCTTCAAGGTTTGTGGTATTGTACCCAGTTTCTCAAAATCCAATTGGGTTATTTAGGTCTAAACTTGTTACTCACTTGCTGAAAATTAATTTTCTGTGACGCTCAATTTTCGTTTACCGCTTTTTCATCTCAAATATCCGTTGTGCTGAAATATTGTTTTTTATGTTTCATTTGATAGTCACACAGTTTGCCTTAGCTCGTCCATTATTTCAGGGTGCGTATATTTCATCCAGTGTGAGGTCAGAGTTCCCAGATTTGGCGAAATTACTTCAGAATCAAAAAGTGTTTACTATAACACAAAGTAGAGTCATTGAGATGCAGACAGCTAAAAGTTCTTTTCAACTAAATCATTTCTCAAAATCATCAGATTTCGGTAAAGGTTAGTCATATATACTTATGTAATGTAATCATCTTTTCAATGGAAATTTATTAAAAAGTTTAGAATCAGTGCATGATAGGTATCATATACAGTACAGTATTGTACATCTGGTCTTTAATAATATCTGTTTTAGTAATTTGAGATGGGATAGTTGAAAAAAAGTCTACTTGAAAAGCATCATTAGCCCAAGGGGGTTGACGGCTGACGCGCTTTTGTAATAAAATCAGACGTTTAATCGATATTTACCAGGTTGTATTCTCTGGAATCTTATTAAAATATGTAGATGGCCAGCAATTGTCAAGTTCTTTATAGTGTTTTCGGACTTACAACAATACTTTAATATATATATGCTACTACTAGGTTGTATGACATAATGACCAGCATCTGATGACTGATAATAATGCTACCAGTTATTTGTGTAATTTCGAAACAGAAAATTCAATCAATGTTAATAACGACTAACAGAGAAAATCACTTCCATCAATTAATCTCTTCTACTCTCATAGATTAAAATCTGCAGAAAAAAATCATTCTGTTAGTTGTAGACCTTATTGTATAACTAGGATGTTTAATCACAGTGGTGGGCTGTACCATGAACATCTATCACTGTCATTGCCGACACATTACTGAGTTTGCGTAGATTTTTGTGACTCCAGTATTTTTATTAATAAATGAAATTGCTTACTTAATACCGTCTGTAGGCCCTATCGATTTACCCCCAAAATTAGCTACAAATCAATTCTTCTACTCGGCAAAATATGTTTAGTGAATACACACTAACTCGGAAGAGAAAAGATGAAGATTTATTTCACATCCAAACATCAGATTTCAAAATAGTATATCGGTACTAATGTTATGTGCAGATTTAACTTGTATTGATCATTCATCAAATATGAATAACTGTAACTTAAAAGAACATCTTACTAAATTACTCCATAACTAAAGTTTTCAGAATACATTTGAATGTCATGCTAAATTCATTCAATAATTTCATTATTCATCCGTTTCTAACAAAAATGTAGACTTTATCCAAATAGCTCACTTTTTCAATCTAATATCTTACTTTCGAATATAAGATTCCTCACTTACAGTTTCAATATACGTAAACGAAATTTGGAATGAAGTAATGGATTTAAGCACGTATCAGTTTAGTACTATATCCTCTCAAGAGTCGTGTCTTTCAAGGACTATAAAAACATCTTACTATCGCTATGTATAAATTAATGTCAACAACAGGAGGGGGTTTTTCTTCGCCAAATGTCCCTATATATTTTTCATGAATAACAACAAGTCTCTTTGTGTAACACTACAGTGACGTAATACGTTTGGACGATGTCCTCATTTCCAAGGATTTTTTTCATGAAAATGACTTTAAACCTTTTTAATTATGTAAATATGTAGCTCGTCTAAATGTAAATCCGTTGCCTCCTGTCTAATATTTCAGATCTTTATGCTGATTTCGTCGCGCCAAAATTAAAAAGGTCTTTAGATACAGAGACTTGGCAACATGACGGAAGCATACCATCGGCATGTCATCGGCAATATTCTGTGAGAAGAATTCATTATTTGCTTGCATGTTCCTTTTTATTTACTGTATCATACGATTGTTAAATTTGTGCAATTCCGATATTCCAGTTTCACGAAATCTAGAAGAATGTGTTGAAAGTTACACTCAATTACCTCGGTCATAAACAATGCAGGATATGATCTGAAATGTATTAATATCGGTCCAAGTTGTTACGTCCAAGGACATTAAAAATAATTTTAAAAATTATAGTCGAAATATTAACATGAGGAACCTAAAAAAACTTGAAATGATACAAATAAATTTCAAGAATTCGAAGTGTGGGATGAGTAAAACGAAAAAGAAAGCAGTTGCAACTGGTTTTGAGCGATATATATATATATATATATATATATATATATATATATATTAACACATAGATACTGGTAAAAGGAGGCACCAAATATATATGCGCCACACAGATCTCATTTGATATGTGAGAGGGATGTGATACTGCCCGGGTGCCCAAACCAAATCAGGTGGTTTTCTTAGAAGGCCCCACCCGGAACATTTGACCTAAAAGTCTGACCCACAAGGTAGTGGAGCATCGTAAGGAGACGCAGTCCCATGGTAGTCGGTGACCAAAAATTGGTTCATACTGCATTTGTTCCTTCAGGATACTGGAGCCCATGTTCACCATTGGTTTGGGATCCGGTTAAAGCACAGGACATTCGCTTTTCGTTCTCTGATTTTCGTAGACAACACCCCCGCCACGTGAGTAGGACTTCCCTGGCAGAGGCTATATACGCGTGGCCATGTGAGAGCATTTGGAGAAGGAGAGCGGACTCTCCTACTCTCGGCCATACCAGGGCATTTGGGGACGGTTTTGAGCGATATCATCTATGGCCGTTCACGGATATCAGTTGCGAATATATGACGTCGAAAGCAGCTTGAGATTTTAGATGAAAATTTAGAATTTGAAATTAAGTTTAAAACTATTCACATTTTCGAGATGTCACCATCCAAAAACTGAGTAGAACTTGACGCTCAGTATTTTAATTAATTTCTACTAGTAGTCCTCAAACTATTTCTGTTATTCATCAAATAATTATTAAGCTTCATTAAAAGTCAAAATATACGATACCAAACGTTGAAGTTTGAAATTATTGCATAGTTATATTGTTGAAAATCTAGTCGTATACCGTAAGGGAGACGAGGTCACACGTAAACGACAATTAGAATAAACTTAATAATGTTGCGATCACTTATCGAAATTATAGGTAATTTCAATCTCTTTTATCCAAGTCCCGCAACTGCTTGTGAACCTAAACAGTTTACACATAATGACAATGTGTGAAATCATATGTTGAATTCATTCTATCTTCTGAAGGTCGTGTTCTGTTTCCCAGTTCAATATATACCTAGTTATCAATATGGGAGTTTGTGTAGATTGTTGAGTGGTGTTGAGATAATGAACCAACCAAAGTTAAATAATTATTTAAAACCATGAAATTCTAGTATGGGATCCCTTAGCAGTGAGCACTCATGGCCTCACCAGATGTCAAACACAGGAGCCTTGCATCCGACAATGAACGCGTAATCTTTGGATGGTAGCTCAGTGTTTTAAGGGTTAGTCACACCCTGAAAACTGTAGGTCCTCAGTTCAATCTCTAAGGGACAATATCGAGGAGCCTCATACTAAGGCAAAACACCTTTCCAGCGCTTCTTTGTTTACATTGCTTTTCTAACTATGGTCGGATCGCGATCTGAATAGTGTACTTAGTTATTGTTTGACTGACAAAAAACATTTAGATAGTTGAGACCATGAGTCAATCGGAGCTAGATCACCATGAAAAACCTGCTACTTCTTAGTAGTGAGCATTTATGGCCCCGCCTCGCGGGACTCGAGCCCAGGACCTACCAGTCTCAAGCGCGAGCGCTTAACCATTAGACTACTGAGTCGGCATCCGACGGTCTTATTGTCTAACTTCAACTAATCCACAAAATTGAGCGACACACCCACCATTGTCATCACTGAGTTACTATCTTACAACAGACCTGGTTGAACTCCACTGGTCACTGCTTCTCACTAAATCTCCAGGATTTACCTCTTGAAGCCAGTCACTAGTGAGAATATGTTGATTAATATCAAAAGGGGTTTTTGTGGATATTATAGTAATTTTTATAATTGAATTCATGAGTGGAATCGCACTGTTGAGGAGTCTCATAATAGGATGAAACGGCCGTCCAGTGCTTCCAGGTTTTCCATGATGGTCTAGCTTGAACTGACTCATGATCTCAACTATTGAAATTACTACAATCTCCACAAAACCCCTTCTAATACTAAAAAACATTTAGTTTGACGTTCTAATGGGCAAAATTTTAATTCACTTAAAAAAATAAATTTAACAAATAACATTTTGTAGTTATGAGAACATTTAATTTATGTTAATGTTTTTATTTTTATGTTGTAAATAATATTTGCCTTTCCATAAACTTGAGACCAATTATCATACCACTTAAGCATTGAACCTTTTTTAAAAATTATAACTGATAATATATAATTTTACATTTAAATTAGTACCATTCGTGTAGTACATTCGTGTCATAATACATATATCCAAAGTTCATCAAATTGAAACTATTATATCATTTAAACTTTGTTTTAATTCAATCTTTCAAAAGCTAATAAAATATTTATATGATTTGATTATTCGTTTTTGTTATTTACACACTTAGATGATGTCCCTCATGTTTAGTTTTATTTACGGAGCTTATTTATATTGAAATAGGTTAAATTAAATAATACCATTGATTGCCTGCATTTTCTTTCTAAAAATAAGCTTTTCAGTAGGTGTTTGTTGTAACTGCTCCTACTATTGCGTAACATATATTGTATCTGTTATATCTTAGTGAAGATTGAATTACGCGTAACTTCTGAGACCTATTAATGGACTAATATTATCTGTATATTCTTATGGTATTACTATTCAGTAATTAGATTGTATAAATCTATATTCCTCTCATTATAAGCTTCATTTTAATCTTTAGATTATTATGACACGATTTACTGTTCTTAAGTTCTGTTCAGTTTATTGATTACAGTCTCCCACAATCACAACCACATTTTGGCCTGATTTTGTATAAATGCTATTTCCTATTTTATGGCGTGATTCTGTCTGTTTGGCTTGTATATAAACCAAGTAGGTTTGAAATAAATGATTCGCATGGTGGAAGCTGTTATTGGTGTTCTGGACTCAACTGGACGGGCTAGGTAAGCATATGATCAATAAGGACAATAGGCTGCTCATACCGATCGAACGTCATTAGTTTGGCAGTGCCAAGATTGTATAAGTCGTATTTCGATTGGCCAATAAATCACGTGATAACTAGACGGGCTTAAAGTCACAACAGTGTCATTGTGTAAAGAATATTCACTATATATGTCAAATAATATTTGTTTTAGCATAACGTAATTTATAACATTTGACCTTTTAAATACCAGTCAAGTTCGAGACTTAATTCAATTCAATTATTGACTAGTTATTTCGTCGTTTTATGCAATCTATTCAATTTTTGTTTTCATACAAAAACTGGGTATCTGTATTGCTGATGACTGAGAAAACGTTCGTTTTTGTATGATGTTTATTTAACGTACACATGTGTGTTAGGTTGACTTTATTGATGTTCAGATAATTATTGGTTGACTGGACTTAATTATTTTTTTAATAAAAACAAAAGTTTTATGATAATATTGAAAAACTAATGTGCAATTATTTTAAATTTTCATGTTACGAAGTAAAGTTTGGAAAAAGAAGTGTATTTGTAACAGAAATTACGATTAAGAAATGAAAAAGTTTTCTAGTTCAGTTGGGATGACTTTGGGAACCATGTGTTTATTAAGCTTGGTGGTTTAATTGTGACGCTTTCACTATCCTCCTATATATCGATAACAGAAACTCCAGGTAAAAGTGAGCTATTCAGATTTCTCAACATGTGGCTAATAGCTAGTTACATCGGCTGCAAGTTTGAATTTTGTTATTGATACTTGACCTGTCACAGTGTGATTGATATATGTAGAAGTTCAAACAGATCGATCTGAAGATTGTGCTAATAGTATCTCCAAAAAAGACCATAGTGGGGCATAGGCCGCTGACCAGTTATCATCAAGTTTCCTAGACTCTCGTTTCCTGTTGCATCCAGATTCCAACGTCATGTATACGCTAACCTGCCCCTTTTCCTTTCACCTTGATGATTCTAAGTAAGAACTTGCCTTATGATATGTCCTATCCACCTCGGGCATCCTTTTCTGATTTCCTCCTCGAGAATCGTGTGATAGTTTGTTTTCGGATCATAAAAAGTTATTTAAAAAAACAACAATTTATGCCTTGTTCAGCGTGTATATATTCGTTTATTTTCTCCTCTTACTATTCTGTTTTATTATATATATATATAGGTGAAAAATATTAAATCTATTTACATTGGAGCTACTGCGACCACAATATTGAATGCGCAAGATCATGCAAAATGGGCTGTTACTGTATCCTCACAAAATCTTACTGAAGATACTGATAATTGGATTTGTCTTGGTGATATTAATCGTCAGGTGATAAATAGATTATTGATGATTATATTTTATTTTTATATGATTAATATATATTTACTACTTTTTGATCAAAAAAAATGAGAATAATTTAATTCGTTAAAACAATTTAACAGCATAATTTATGTAACAAGTTATATTTGTGAATAAACGTAATGATACTATTTTCACAGGCAAAAAAAAAAAAAAAAAAATGGTTTACTTAATAGAAGTGAATATTCATTTGATTTAAATGAAATTTGTTAAAATAATCTTATGAAATAGAGGAATTTAATTGGTAAATAAAAAATTTTTAAAAAAATTAAAATATTTTTACAATTAAAATGAATGATTTTAATGGATTTTTTTTTTAAAAAAAATAACAATTTTATTTCACTTAGGAATCTCATTGAATATGATGTGAGATTATAATGTATTCATTAATTGTTCATTAAGTAATGGTTAATGTTATATTTGTCTAGTATTTACTGATGTAGTATGACGACCTGAACCGATATACACATGTATTAAGTGGTGTATAACTGACTTAATGATTGATGATTGAATTCTGTTGGACATGTAAATGTTTTCTCACCAACCATGTTGAAATGTCGTAATATATATCACAGTGGTAAATTTTATTCCTTTAGAAGCTAAATGTTTCAAAATTTTTTCCATTTGAATAATAACAATAGCGAAACAATGATACGAAATTCATTCGACATGCTAACAAACTTGGCTAGTTCAAAACAACTGACAGCAACAGGTTCCGATCCCTAAGGCACCTACTAGAAGAAATGGAAAACTCTTTGGAGAGCAGTCAGAGACAGACTAAGGCAGCAATAACTTCAAAATATCACGAGGTTACGGGCCCAACGAGCACCACAGTAATGTATGGATCTCTGTATACAACCTGGTTAAGATTCAAGAAAGAATAAACAAGAAGACAGCAATCGACAACAACCGGACGAAAGTAAAGAAGGTCAAAGAACAGGTTGAATATACAGAAGTAGATAAACGAGTGAAAGAGAGTGCAAGAATCGGTGAGCAGAAACAATAATAAAAGACCAAGCAACAACAACAACAGGAAAAGCTGCAAGAGAAGGAAATATGTGGAAGCGTTATGACAAAACTAAGAAGCCTATAGCGAAACATCATAGACCAGAGAGACCAGTCATGAACAAAAGAGGAAGACCAATCAGTGTGGTTTCAGAGCAGCGAAATGGGTGGGTAGAATAATGTGAAGAGCTCCCGAATAGACTAGTCCCCCTGAACACACCGGATATCGAAGGGGCACATAAAGACCTTCTTATAAATGTTGACCCACCAACAATGTAAGAAATCAACAAGGCCATCAGACAAATAAGGAGTGTGAAAGCGGCAGAATCAGACAGCACACAAGCTCCCTCACTGAAATCAGATATATATGTCGCTGCAAAGATGTTCCACGTCCCGTTCAGAAGGATTTTGAACGAAGAACAATTATCAACAGACTAGAAAGAGGGATACCTGAATAACATACCAAAGAGAGGAGATCATATTAAGGATAGGAGGCATTATACTACTGTCAGCACCAGGCAAGGTTTTCAGCAGTATTGCCGGATGAAATGAAGGATTCAGTAGACATTCAACTTTCGGATCAACAAGCTGGATTTCTCAGGGATACATCATGTACAGACGAAATCACAACACTGAATCATTCTTGAGCAATCGATTGGATGGAACTCATTGCTGTACATCAACTTCCCTGACTATGGAAACCACTCGAAAACGTGAATAAGAGGGCCTAATAGGATCTTCTCCGGCACTATGGAGTGATTGAGAAGATCGTCACCACCACACAGACCTTATACTAGGGATTGTACTTCAAAGTCGTGGATGGAGAACAGTTCATATGTACTTCTCAAGTGAAGACTAGCCTCAGACAAGGTTGCTTATTCTTGCCTTTTCTTTTTCTTCTTATTATTGACTGAATTATGAAGATTTTCAGATTTCAGGAGATGTACACAATACAATGGACATTTTGAACGCAAGTTGATTAATTGGACTTCAAACATTACATAGTCCTTCTATTCTATACACAGAAGCAAACGAACACAAATGATATCGGTGTAACAACAGTTTCCACGGCAGTAGGTCTCAACATTCACAAGGAAGAGAAAAAAGTCTTGAAATACAATACTGTGAGTGCCAACTGAACCACATTTAATAGCGAAGCTCTGAAGGAGGTGGAAGCTTCTACATACCTGGACAGCATCATAAATAAGAAAAGAGGAACTGATGCAGATATGAAGGCACGAGTTGTCAAAGTGAGGGTAGGATTTCTATAGTTAGAGAACATCTGGAACTCAAAATAACTGTCATACAACTCCAAAGTTACTAGGTTTTAAAACCAATATTGAAACAGTTCTATTGTACGGAGCTGAAACTTCGAGAACTTTCACGATCGTCATCATAAATGTACAGTTGTTTATAAAAAGCTATTTACATAATATATTTTAGATGCGTTGGCTAAACACTCTCAGCAATAATCTACTCTGACAGTGAACAAACCAGCTTTCATCTGAGGAGGAAAGCAGAAAAGGATGCCCGAGGTGAATAAGACACATGTCGCGAGAATCGTCAAACTGCATCCTAAGGCCAAGCCCTTACTTAGAATCATCAAGGTGAAAGGAAATGGGGCAGGTTAGCGTATACATGACGTTGGAATCTGGATGCAGAAATCAAGACGATGAATAGCAGTTGGCAACAACAGGAAACGAGAGTCCAGGAAAGTTGATGATAACTGGTAGGCGGCTTATGCCCCACTATGGTCTTTTTTGGAGATACTATCAGCACAATCTTCAGATCGATCTGTTTGAACTTCTACATATATCAATCACACTGTGACAGGTCAAGTATCAATAACAAAATTCAAACTTGCAGCCGATGTAACTAGCTATTAGCCACATGTTGAGAAATCTGAATAGCTCACTTTTGCCTGAACGCATATAACGTTTGTCATCCCATCTCGTTGTAATAACTATTCTGTTGGGTTTATTAAATTTTAGCATCGGTAAATGTGTTTATCAGTTAATGAACGATGTTTTTTTGTTAACTTTAATCTTTGCAACAGCAGGCATGAGTGATAATTCTTCTCTTGGTGTAACCTGTGGTATCAGTTAAATTCTGTTGCCTATCAAAATACAGTTTATGCACTTTTAATAACTCGACACCAATATTTTTTTATTGTTGTATTATGTGTACGAAGAATAAACTCATTCTTAGCCTAAATTATTGAGAATAAGAATCAATAACTGTCTTTTGTCATAGATTAGTGTATTTTACCTGATACCTTTAATATATTCCTAAATCAGTCTAAAGTTTACAAATCTCAAACCTCAATTGTATTGCTTTTCTTTTCACCATATGGTTATTTACTTTAGCCTCATCAATTTGAACGTGGTGGTGGTACAATGTGTATAAAAGATCAAAAACTTTGGCAATCATTTTATGATTCAGTTCAACGTGTAGAAGAATGCTCAAAAACTGATTACACTTTTATTTCTACCCATTTATTTAAACGACTATGGACTTTGATTGAAATTGTGCAATTTTTTTATGCATAAACTAATTCACTTATGATGCTTAACTTTTTTCAGTGCTTTTCTTTTTCTAACTTGTTAATTTTATTGATTTATCGTAATTTTCATTCTTAACGAAAATTTATTTTGTCCTATTTTTTTTTTGATTCTGATTATTTTTATATGATTGCTGAACAAAATGTTATCTTTAAATGATTATTTATTTGTATTAGAAGGGGTTTTTGTGAACGTTATAGTATGAAACTTCTCAGGCAGGATCGTGGATGCGCACTGCTAAGGAGTCCCACAATAGGATGAAACGGCCGTCCAGTGTTTCCAGGTTTTCAATGGTGGTCTAGCTTGAGTTGACTCATGATCTCAACTATTGGGATTATTTATTTAAAACTAATATCGTCAATAGATGAATGTTAGACGATCATTGAAAACCTGGAAGGATTGGACGGTTGTTTCGTCCTAGTACGGGACTTCTTAGTAGTATGATTATTTATTTACTTATTTTCTATATTAACAATTTAAATGAATCACAGAAATTTATTTTACTAGTCTAGAAAAAAACAGCCAGAAGTTATTGGTTGATTGAAGTTTTGTTTTTAAGTAAAACTAATGCCCTGAAATAATGTGACTGCTTGTAGTTGTCAAGTGTTTTATACCTGTTTGAAATATATTTGAAGATATCAAGATCGAAATAAAATGATGTACGGATGGATCACAATGTAAACGCAAAATGAATCGATAATAATTCAATAGAAATGTTATTTAAATATTAAAATGACAGCCTCAAGTCATAGTAGTTCATGGTGGATAATTTGCTGAATCTACAGCAATTATCAGCTGTAGTCCATGAATATAAACAGAGACTAATCATCGGCTAAAATAAGCAGTTCGAACAAAGCTTCAGGAGTTTATAGATGGAAATTGGAGACGGCTCTTGAGGTGCTGATATAATTCCTATGGGACAGAGTAATGAGAAAAAATTCGTCAATTTCTACCCTTTCTATTTATTTAGAAAAGTACTCATGTGATTGGTTCGATCTCACTTTCTCAATATGAGATCTAGAATAGTAGGCGGCCTGCTTGAATATCTGGGCTACCTGTTCCTGCCATCTAGATATTTCGACAAGTTATCTGTCTTGTTGTTTGTTTTAACACATGATTATGTCTATTGAGCGCACAACCTATTCAGAGGAGTTTATGAAAAGTTTACGACATTTCTCTATACAGGTTACGAAAAGGCACAATCAGCGACATCATGGTGGCTGGCAATATGCATTGAAAAGAAAGAACATTATTCAGATGTCGATTCCCGAACGTTTAACATATAACTGGCGATCACTCAATATTTCATCAGGATTAGTCAAGAAATAAGAATAGGGAACTTGTAGAAATACTTTGCTCTGAGAATTCTATATCGTACCAAAAATATAATATTGAACAAAGCTAATAATATAATCGCAGTTTAACTAATATCCTTCCTGTTTAGTTGCGATTTGATTGGTTGAATCCCATGGAGAATGGATGATTTTCATTGGATGGTCGGAATACCAGTATGTCTCTTCAACCACATGGAAAAGTAAATCCTTTAAAAAATCTATCCATGAAATAACACAATAGTAGTGGGCTAATTCCTTAATAATGAAAATGTTAATTACCAAAGATGAATAAAGTTTAAAATAGGTCAGTAGTAAATGCTTGTCCAAACATGTTCACTAGTTAATTTTGTGCATAGTGTGAATGAATGTCATTTGATATGGAATGATAACAGAATGCAACATGTGAGATGTGTATACCAGTATATTATTATAAGATATCGACATAGTAAACGTTTTGCTTGTAAAAAAGTAAAAATACACAGGATGAAATTAATCATACGTAGTGACAGTGAATAGTAGGATAGTATTCTGTTGAAGATAAATATATTTTTCGTCTGTTCAAACAGTTCAATTAAACCCATCTAGTTTCACCTAGTTACGCTATAAGAAAGCATTTAAACGTGTTTGAACAAGCGTTTGTTGTAGACTATCGCTGCAACTATTTCAAATACAATTTTTACATCGATTATTACTGAATACTGAAGGATATATTCTCATAGAACAAAATATTTTAATCATGAAAACTGACTCAGTGTAATTTTATTAATTAAAAATATAAGTTTTAATGACTTGCAGAACTATTAATTAATTTTGTTATACTCTAAATAAAATATTAATCTGTTACTGGGCACAAATAAAGAAGATTGGAAGGCATAATACTGGGAAATAAACATCTAAAAAGAAAATGAATATGGAGGTCAGATAAGGTTGCTTAGTCTCCCCTTTTCTCTTCCGATGGTCGAATAGATTATGAATACTTCCACACCTGAGGGAAAGCACAGAATACTATGGATAGCTCGTATGCAACTAGACGATTCGGACTTCGCAGATCACCCAGCTCTTCTATCCCCTACACATCATTAAATGAAGGCGAAGATAGTCAATGTAGCAGCTGCCTCTGCATCAGTAGACCACAACATAATGAACAAAGCAAGATCCTCAAATACAACACAGAGAACACAAACCGAATCACACATAATCGAGAAACTCTGGAGGAGGTGGAAACTCTAACAAGCCTGAGAAGCACCATCGATGAACAAGGGGGATCTGATGCAGGTATAAAGGAGAGGATTGGAAAGCAAGGACAGTATTTTTTCAATTGAAGAACATATTGGGCTCAAAACAACTGTCAACCAACATCAAAGTCAGAATCTTCACTACGAACGTTAACACAGTTCCACTGTACGGAGCTGAAACTAATACAACTATCATCAAAGCATTCAATGTCCGTTGGTCGGATACCATCAACAACAGCGTAGTCTACTGTGGGAGAGAACAAACCAGCTTGCAGTTGAAGAGGAAATTGGGAAAATACGTTGAAAGTGGATAGGATATGCATTTAAGAAATCACTAAACAGCACCACGCGGCAAGCGCTTAGTTGGATTTCTGAAGGGAAACGGAAAAGCGGAAGATCAAAGAACACTATGAGTGGGGAATCGGAAGCAGATATGAAAAGGATTAATAGTAACTGGAAAGGACTGTTCAGGACAGAGTTTGATGGCGAATGTTGGTGATTGGCCTATGTTTCTCCACGAGGAGTAATAGGCGTAAGTAAGACCCGGTGATTGTCTCTATGTGGCTAACTTGATTGTATCTCAGATAAAAACTAGCATTCTTAAAAATATCGCCCAAGTTAGATTGATTTGACTACTTGAAAATACAGATACAGTGTCTTTTTATGAAGAAATTTTGATTTAAAAAATCAAATCTGTCATTCTAATTGGGAAATATTATCAGTATTAAATATTTTCCCTACAGTTTAAAATGTTAGAAAATATGGAGAACAAGATGACAACAATCCTAATTCAATCTAAAAACAGAAATTTTATAATCATCAAATTACAATGACAAAAACAATCACAATCTGATATTTGAAATTTATATTTATGAACTGAATATTCAACAATACAAACAAAAGTGATGTCTTTTCACACACACAAAAGAAGAAGAGGTACCTAAAAGAAAAGGGTTTCCAAAAATAGTTTACTTTAATAAAACAAAAAAATTACTTTAATGGATCTGTTAAACCGTCATGATATGTGCTGAATACGTGATCAATATTACATAATGAAGATGTACATAAAAAAGAAACTAATTTCAATAATTGAGATCATAAGTCAATTGAAACTTGATCGCCATGAAAAACCTAGAAGCACTGAACGGCCACTTCCAAGTTTTTCATGATGATCTAGTTTTAATTGACTAATGATCTCAACTATTGAAATTACTGTAATATCCACATAAAAACAACCCCTTTCTGATACAAAATAAATTGTGTTAAATCCAATTAGGTAAAATACAATCAGATCGTTGTTTCACATTAACTTGTAAATTATCACAAAAATTTGATGTTAATGGTAAACATGTAAAATAATTACAATATTGACAATTAATAATTGGACCCCATATAAACATAAGAATTAAACCAATACATAATATTAACCATAGAATAGAACATAATATAATAATAAAACAACGATGATAACATTTAGAATTTTGTTGTGATAATTGTAATTGACGTTGAAAATATTGTGAATGAATAAAGGAATGATTTTGATGATATTGTAATGATGTACAACTTTTACGATTTATATCAGATAAATTAAAATTAAATAGAATAGGTGGTGTTGTTGGTGATGTTATAGGTGTATTATAATAATTATTATCAAATATATTTTGATTAACTGATGTTGCTATAGATGTAGTAAGTGATACAGATGGATAAATAAAACCACGAAATGGTAATAAAATAAATGATAATAAAATACCAGATAGAAAACTACCAGCATTTGCATAATTATCAATCCATGGTAATAAACCAAATGTGAATAATATAAATACAAGTAAAATATTTCTTAATAATGCATACCATGGATGTGTTAAATAATGCCAACAATGGATAAAATCAACTAAAGTGACACCGAGTAAAGCGAACTGTGCACCTGTAGGTCCAGTTTCTACCTAAAGAAAAGAAAAATCCCCGTGATAAATACAAACAAACAAATAAACAAACAATCAAAATGAATTAACCTGACTGATTTATCGATAATAGTGGTAGTAATAATAATAATTTTTTAAGGGAAATACATTTTTAAATTAAAAACAAATTGAATGCATTAATAATTTTGACAGAAGTAAAAGTGGATCAAAACAATTTGAATAAAAAAACGATGTAGTTTAGTTTGTTACACTTTGATAACTGTTGATTAGGAAATAATGAAAAAAAATATATATATTTCTTTCAATACAACCTATTAAATGATTTTAAGAACGATTGATGTTTAATGATGGAGCCATTTATTTTCTTTTTTGGAATCAATCTTCAACTAGTTCATAATTCACAATCCGACTATTCTAACTTGATACATACTTCACTAATCCTAATTTATTTATTTGTACTTGTAGTTATGTAATGAATAAAATGATTTATTTATCTGAGTCATCGATGCACACGACGAAACTTGTGTGTTTTGTCATTTATTTCTATAACATTGCTAATTGTTATAACACAATATGTTTTAGTCAGACAAATGATGTATTCTTCATCTGAATAGGTTAAATCTGTGCTAAATTAGTCATTTTAGGCGGATGACAATCATATATGTCATTCGTCCATAGGAAGCATAGTTTCATATAAATGTATCTCGGTTAATTTTAACTTTACATTAGTTAGCTAATCGAATTCTCATTAAAATTGTAAATATGAAGTCGATAGGTTTAATGAAAAAGTAAATTTTAAAATAACTACTTGAATAACTGTTGTGATATTTTAGGTTAGAGCAGTTAACTTTTAAAACTCGGACCGCACATCTTTCCGTCAATAAATCTTACGCTTAGAAGTACGATCCATAGTTCGTATGATAACACAACCTACATCTCACTATACGATATTCTGTACATCTCTAATTCATATTGTCATTAATTACTTCCATTTTCTAAAGGAATAGAACAACTTAATATCGAGAAATCAATTAACTCGTTAATGTTTACATATTCTAACTCCATTCTGACGAGGTAAAATAAATTTAATCTGGGATGTCAATTCGTTGCCTCATTTTGAATTCATCAAATAATTGATTTTTTTTTAAACAAATAAATAGAATCGAAAGAGGATTTTTCGGATATTATAATAATTTTAATAGTTGAGATCATAAATCAATTGAAGTTAGACCATCATGGAAAACTTGGAAACATTGGACAGCCGTTTCTAGTTTTTCCATAGTGGTCTAGCTTCAATTGATTCATGATTTCAACTATTGAAATAGAAGTTTATTTTACATACGATTACATTTTCAATACAATTAATTAGTCAGAATTCTATTTATTAATGTTTACAATTTTGGTCACCTAAAATTATTGAAGAAAATCTTCTGTTGGAACTCCAACACACAAACATATTTCTAAAGAAAATTTATCCCTTGCTATTTGACAAAATAATTGGGGTAAAAGATATAACAAATTGTTACCGAATTTGAAAAAAATTTTACTTTATTTTTTGGGAATAAGCTTTTAATTTAACGTTTAAAACTACATCCTTAGAAACTTTATTCCTTCTTTTGCTCTTGTCTGGTTGATACATAGTCATCATGATAGAATGATCAAATATTCATGAAATAATCAGAAAGCTCATTTCAAAGTGAAGGAAGAATTGGTGATGTAGCCAATGGGGATAACAGAAGCTTCGGAATTAAACCATTCAGTTCAGAGAACATAACACTACAAAAAGCATCCACTAGAGCAGAAAATCCTCTTTATTGTTTATTTAGATTTGATGATTTTAAACAACTCTAGGTTTACATGCATTTATTAAACAAGTCAAATAACTTACTTGATATGGTAAGAATATTCCAGATGTTAAACTTCCAATACAACCGGATAAAATATACACTAAAGTGATACGATGCCAACCAATCATTTTTTCCAAATCTCGCATAAAAATCATTTGAACACCAAGCGACAAGATTAAATGTAATACGCTAGAAAAAAAATCGATAGCACATGAATGGAAAAAGTATTCAGGAAGAAGCTGACATTTTCTACTTCACTAAGTCATTACGTGATATGACTGTATCGAACACAGTCCCAAACAATCATTAAATTTCACAATTCGAACGGTGAACGACCAATGTTTTTAATTTGGAAGAATCATGATTTTGCTTACCATTGAAAGGTAGATCTTCATGCTATGAAAGGTTACCAAGGGTAAAACTACGGTCTACAATCCTTGCTCAGAGGATTTGCATCATGATGTCAGATTAAGATAAGACGGCTGACTCTCTTTGTTTTATTAAGTTTTCAGCTTGCAGGTCTACGCAATTGATTCTTATCAATCCGACTTCATATTTACACATTATTTGAATAAATCAAGTCAAAGCAGTCAAATATAACATCAATCTACCTATCTTGTCTAGTGAATAAAACTGTGATGACTGATTTTTATTTTAATAATTGAGATCATGAGTCAATTAAAGCTAAACCACCATGGAAAACCTGGAAGCATTGAATGGCAGTTTCGTCCTATTGTGGGACTTCTCAGTAGTGCGCAACCACCACCCCGCCTCGCGGGATTCAAACCCAGGACCTATCAATCTCTCTCCAGGTGCTTAACCAACTAGACCACTGAGCCGGCATCCAATGATGTTAATGTCTAACTTCTGAGGAGTCCCACAATAGAACGGAACGGCCGTCCAGTGCTTCCAGGTTTTCCATAGTGGTCTAGCTTCAATTGACTCATGATCTGAATTATTGAAATTACAACAATCTCCACAAAACCCCTTCTGATTTTTATTTATTTATTTAGTCACGAGTTCTTTGGAAATAATAACTGTTAGGTGATAGGAAACAATCAACAGAAAATCCTAGACATGGATCTCGTGTTAGCTGGTAATCATAAGCTTTTATGCATGATATCTTATTAATTTGGATGTTGTTCTTCAGATAAACAGCACTTATAATAAAGTATGCAAATGCTCTTTCCTAAAGACAAACTCCCCGACAGTGAGCAATCCAACTAGAAAATCGAATCCAAAATTTCGTACGTTAAGGGACCAAGATACCTTTAAAACCCTAGTGATTATTCGATTGTTCATATCTCTAACTTTAATTAATTTACGATATAGAGCGAACGCCATCCAGTACCATTGTGGTGCGTGCTACTGTTGTCAATAGTTATAAGTAGTATGTATGATCAATTGAAAGTGAAATGTCTGGCGGCAGAAGGTCAAGAAGATCAAGGAGTAAAGAATGAGAACAGAGATTTATTGGTGTGGGAACGAAGGAACAGTGAAGTCGGAGACAATTGTTTGACATTTTGCAAATAAATAATTCACTGTATAGTTCTCAGATTTTACTAATATATTCTGTAACTTTGTGTTCAAATACATTTGGTTGTGCCCACTCGTGTTCGCGTTTATTACACCATTGGTGATATATGTCTCTTACCTATGTTGGCTGAACCCCAATAATCATAATTTCTTTCCGGAATATAAGGAGAACCGAGAATGTATGACAAAATAATCGTCTGGAACATTTCAACTTTCAATGATTCCTCAACTGGATGTCAGTTCTTGGTAGAAAGTCTTTTCATATCATACATATACAGTTATACGATTTAAGTAAAATTCTGTAATTTGAAAGCGAATAATGACGATAAAACCTTACCCAGCATGAAGAAATAATGAAGTGAATATTCGATACATTTGATTTGGGTATTCATTATTTATGAAAGGTGACATACCACAAATTTGATTTAAACAATTCACCTAAAACCGGGGAAACAATCGTAACTAATATTAGTAATAACTAAATAGATCAATAAAAAAATTCAACTTATGAGAACATGAGTGTAGATAAATTATGTATGAACAAACGAGAAAACAAACCCAGTTACCATGAAAGAAGAAAAGTTAGACTAAAAAAGTTAGAAAGATATAGTAGACACTCAACGAATAATGAATTACAGCCTCATTGATCAACTTTTCATTTTGAAATGAAACAGTACGCAAAACTCAGCATTACTCATTTAATAATTTCACTAGATGTGAGAAACATTTTGTAGACATTTTTAATCAAATAATTACAACCTACGAGAGTTTTTGCTTTCATCAATCATATCCAACAGCCTTAAAGCAATATGAATGGAACCGCTTCTTCTTTCCGGTAAACAGCCCACCATCTCGTCTGTCCTAAAGATAGTGTTATATTGATAAATAAAAGTCGAGCTTCTTAAATCTCTGTCAAGATTTCAGCAACAACTAATACATCAGATCGAAAAATAAAATGATGGGCTAACCTATTCCCAACGGTCAAAATATGTGTAGACATAGATCAGTCCTGAAGTAATATTTTGTACTTAGTGAAGAAACAAATCTCAAATATTCTTACATTGCTACACAAAGCGTCTGGAAAACTTCATTTTGTTCGTTTCTTTAACTTGTGCTGATGTTGAAAACATGAGAGAATGCACTAGGTCTTAATGGACGTTCAAGTTTTTATTTGGATTCCCAGAAAAGCTACGAAAACACATTATCCTGCTGCAATGTATGGGGGAGGGGATAAAACGGAACAATTTTACTTTTCAAAAAAAATTGTCATTATTTTCAATTTGAATTTATTTACTTGGGAACATAATGCAGCATTTGGATAATAAAAGCCTCGAACGAAATCACAATGTTCTTGCGTAGTCATAATGCATTCACCTTTTATGCCTAAACAACATGGATGACCAGTTACTTGACATTCCATATGTGGTGCATAACCACCCATATTTGGTACAGTATCAGGTAATTCACAAATCTAAAATGAACAAAACATTCATAGTACATTCATGATAACAGTAAAAAGGAATTTTGTAGAAACAGTAATATTTACTCGATTTATAATATTCAAAACTGTTTAATATAGAGATGTGAATTGGCAGTAAACTACTAATAACTATTGCTTTTAGTTCTGTAAATAAAATAGCGTAATAAATGTACAGACATTTGTCCATAAAGTGGTTAGCAATAACTATTGAGAAATAGACAGCCAAATGTGGATCATAGTTCAAATCGATTATCCAATTCATGAACCATAGTCCTTTCAGGAAAGTTACAAACGTGTTAGGTAAGATCATAGGGACAGTGGAATCGACTATTTGAATTTAGATGATAATATACAAAACTGACTTCAGTGGTACACATTCATCTACTCGAAACATTGGAAAACAAAATAGTTTCATAAACTTAACAGAAAATATTTTCACAGTTAATGACACCATATCGATATTTTCAAGTTTATCATTGCCAACAAAAGCTTCAATGACTAGTTAATTCAATATATGATGACCCCTATCAAATGGAAAAAACTGTCGTCTTTCAGCTCATCTGTTAATTTCCAAAACATAAAAATACAAGTTTGAATGTGATTAAAATTACTTTCATGTTAGCATGATCATCAAATAATGACAAGAATACAAATCAAAGTCCTCGTATAAATTTTTTGAAGTAGACTGATTAGTTCAAATGCTACTACTTGGAGAGGGTTCGAAAGTGTTAAGCAATGATTGAATATCAATGTTTCAAACTACTGAGTTAGAACTCTAGACAAAATATACATAACTACATCTTTAAACTTAGCTGGCATAATGGACATGGACATTTGACTTTTGATCATTTTGTCTCTGGGTTTGAATCAACTATTCTTCCGCTTACTTTGATTCTAGTAAATGGATAGTATTAATAAAGTGGTATTTACTGAGGACTTTAAGCACACTGACACATTTTCTTCAGTTGTTCGAGTGAATACTATTTGGTACCACTTATTGCTTTCAAACATCTGAGACAGAATACAACGTATTGCAGTATAATGCTTCTCCACGGATGGTTGTATCGTATTCATTAGTTGATAGGTAAAGGATCAGTCAGTTTGTTATTGTCTTTTGAATATTGGGTGTCGTACAGAACTTACATTTAAAAAGGATTAACAGGGTATACGGAGTAACAAAAACAGAAATCGACAAAATATGTTAACGTTTACAGGCCATTTAGTAACATCTGTCTCTGACCAAGCAAATGCTCCAATAGAACGTGGTCGAGCACAAAAATCTGGATCTAATCCACATACAGGTCCAGCTTGACCAACAAGTCGTGTTGAACGTAGAGAATGTATAATACTTGATATATTATTGTTATGACTGTGTGAATCATTCTCAGGATGAGAAGCCTTCAGTATATGTACGTGAATTTCACGATCTGCAATATTAGTCGAAAGTAGTTCTGCAGTTTGTGGCTTACTAAAATTAAGTGTTTCATAATGAAGCCATGTAGCTAGCGTACGAGAGCATACTTCTCTATGCGTCTGATAACAACCACCACCATCATTACGAATACAACATCCCGAGCTATAGAAGAAAAGTGAAGAAAAAAATCAACTCATACATAAACACCTAAGCAAATACACATTATGAAAATTATAGTATTTATATTATATAATCTACTACTTAACTGTTATTTTCATTCCTAACATTTGGATCAATCGAATTAGACTGAGGAACATGATAAGACTGAATACTAAGCTACATTGTCAAATGAGTAAACACTGATCGAGAAATGAATATACGGGAGATAACTTTAGTTAGTTGAATAGCTTACATGCTCACTATGGCTTACTTACTTACGCCTGCTACTCCTTGTGAAGGAGCATAGGCCGCTCACCAGCATTCTCCATTCAATCCTGTCCTGGGCAATCCTTTCCAGCTCTTTCCAGTTGTTATTCATCCTTTTCATATCTGCTTCTGTTTTCCGACGTGATGTGTTCTTTGGCCTTCCACTTTTCCTCTTCCCTTCAGGATTCCAAGTTAGCGCTTGTCTCGTAATGCAGTTTGATGATTTCCTCAATGTATGTCCTATCCATTTCCATCGTCTTTTCCTAATTTCTTCTTTCTCTGGAAGCTGGTTGGTTCTCTCCCACAAAAGGCTGTTGCTGATGGTATCCGGCCAATGGATGTTGAGTATCTTGCGTAGACAGCTATTGATAAATACTTGTACTTTCTTGATGGTGGTTGTTGTTATGGTTCTCCAAGTTTGGCTCCGTACAGTAGAACTGTCTTGACGTTCGTATTGAAGGTTCTGACTTTGATATTGGTTGAAAGTTGTTCTGAGTCCCATGCCAATCCTCGCCTTTACGTCTGCATCTGAATCTCCTTGTATATCGATGATGCTTGCCAGGTATGTGAAGGATTATACATCTTCCAGAGTTTCGCCATCAAGAGTGATTTCATTGTTGTTCTCCGTGTTGTATATGAGGACCTTGGTTTTCCCCTTGTGTATGTTGAAACCTACTAATTCAGAGACTGCTGCTACGCTAGCTGTCTTTATCGTGTGTATGCAATAGGAGGGCTAGGTCATCTGCGAAGTCTAAATCGTCTAAATGGTTCTGAGCTGTCCATTGTATGCCCTGTTTTCCCTCAGATGTCGAGGTCTTCATAATCCGGTCGACCACCAGAAGAAACAGGAACGGAAAGAGTAGACAGCCTTGTCTTACTCCGGTCCTTACTTGGAATGCATCTGTCAGCTGTCCTCCATGCACTACTTTGCACTGTAGTCCGTCGTATGAGTTCCGGATAATGTTGACAATTTTCTCAGAAACTCCATAGTGTCGAAGAAGTTTCCATAATGTTCTCCTATCTACACTGTCAAATGCCTTTTCATAATCAATGAGGTTGATGTACAGTAACGAGTTCCACTCAACCGATTGTTCGGCGATGATCCGTAGTGTCGCAATTTGGTCTGTGCACGACCGATCCTTACGAAATCCAGCCTGTCGATCTCGAAATTGAGAGTCTACTGCGTCTTTCATCTGGCTCAGCAACACTCTGTTAAAGACTTTCCCTGGTACTGACATTAGTGTGGTGCCTCTGTAGTTTTCACATTTGCTCAGATCTCCTCTCTTTGGAATCTTGATGAGGTGACCTTCTTTCCAGTCCATTGGCACTTGTTCCTCCTCCAAAATCTCCTTGAATAGAAGGTGAAGCATGTTTGTAGTTACTTCGATGTCTGACTTCAATGCTTCATCTGGTATATTATCGGGTCCTGCTGTTTTCCCGCTCTTGATTTTTTTGATGGCTATTCCGTGAAGAAATGTGAACAAGTAATAACCAAGATGATGTAATAGAAAGTAAATGCACAATCAGTATAATAGACACTTTACTCCAAATCATTCTGACCTTTATTAAATGACCTTTCTAACTTACAAATAGCACAATTTTAAAGTATATATGTCGTAACAGATGCAAACGTTCACCACTTTTAACATATAACATTATTAAATCCATTGATGCATGCCGCATTTTGGCCTTTGTAAAATAACAGAATTATGGACTTATAACTGTAGAACCTGATGATGTTATTGAAAACAATTGTTCGCTCAAATATTTTTATTTTTGAATGTTCTATGAGGATTTTTAACCTAAAATAGTTTTACTACTATATTAACTTAGAACTTGCTTTAGCATCATAACAAGGTGATTAATAGGGGAATATGATACTTCTATTACATTTCGTACAGTCAGAGATGAGTTAATATACAACATTTAGGATTTCGCTAAAATGGTTTTTTTAAATTACATTTCATGGATAGACATTTTTAAAATCTAATAGTTGAATTCATGATTCGGTATAAGCTAGACCACCATGGAAAACCTAGAAGCACTGACAGGCCGTTTCATCCTAGTATGGGACTCCTCAGCGGTGCACATCCACGATCCCGTACTCGGGACTCGGACCCAAGACCTTCGGTGTCATTTGCGAACGCTTAACCTCCAAACCACTGAGCCAGCATTTACCGGTGTTAATTTCTAACTTCAACCAATCCACGATATTGCGCCACAGTTCACCATTGTCCTCAGTGAGTAAATGTTTCATAAAAGACACGGTTGACCCACTAGAACTCCAGGAAATACCTCCTGAAGTCATTCACTAGTGAGTACATGATGATTATTATCAGAATGGGGGATTCGTGGAGACAGTAATAATTTAATAGTTGAATTAACGAATGGATTTTTAAAATTAAAAATTAGTCACTCGGTTTGAGCTCAATAGTGTGACTTCAGAAATTTTGTTTGATTTGCTTGAGATATTAGTACCAACATAGGTCACATAACTTTGAGGTTCAATAAATGCAGTTATGATTGTGCTCAGATTGTAATGTTAAGGGAACTGATGATTCCTGTGAAATTCATCCAGTTTTAGAGATGTTTACATTGTTTGAATATTTAATGGTAACTAACAATACGTTTCTGTAGTCCTTGGTGCTATTAGAATTCAAATGTACAACATTATATACAACTGCTAACCAAAAGTGACTTGACATCAAGCTTTATAATGCTGGGTGGTTGATTCGCAAGTTCTAATCAACCTTTTTATACATAATGATTCAGTATTTTTAGTCTGTCAATAACAACTGTGGGTTAAAGTTTAATAAACCATGTAGAATTATTTTTATCAACCTTGCTTCCTAACTAAATGCAGTTGTAATGCTTATACAGTTAGGAATTTATAGAAATACTCACAAATTGTTCAATTATTAAATGAAAAAACTTACGCACGATCAAATTTCTTTTGACGTTTAATCACTGAATCATGTAATACTGGATCGAATCGCATACATGGTGGAAAACGTGCACCCAATCGAACTAAATCTGTTTGCCTTGGACCTATCCATAAATTTTCATATTCTATCCAACAAACTTGATCAATTGTCAATGTGGGCAGTAACACTTTTCCAACAATACGTGTAGTTATCCCCAAACCAATCGGTGCAAATCCATAACCGATTGAACCAGCAATAAAAATTAATATATGAATAAATGATATCCAATATGTAAAATATGGTCTACATTTGAATATTTTTTTGTTTTCGAATTAAATAAATAAAACAAAATTATTCATAGAATAATGAACATATAAGTGAAGATCGCAAATTAAAAAAACGACCTAATTAAGATTATTTTTACAAGAAAAATAGAGAAAGAGTAGTAGAAATAGATTTAAATAAATAAAATTTAGGTACGCTCCGAAGACGTGTCTTACACTGAATTATGAAACGTCAGATGTGATACTATTGTAGTGAAATAAACACCAGTGGGGACAATCCAATGTACTTAACAACCAATTACAGAGCTATTTACTAAAATCAAACAACCATATATTGAATCGTTAATTTGCAAATTGTTCATCAATTGTCTCAAATCACTCAGAATACCCTTGTCCTTGCATTTTCATACAAATTGCATTTTGTCTTCATTCTTTATTGTTCGATCTTCTTATCTCTATGCCGCCAGACATTCTGTTCAGTGCTCACGTCATATACTACTTATGTCTACATAAGTAGCACACACCACACTATATTTATATCATTATCTTACAGACAATCTACTCAATGCTCAGTTTACTTGGAATCATTAAATCAAACCTTGGTAATGATAACCATAAACTCACCAAGATTTAAGTTATTGATTTGTGTTCTGTATCATCAATATATATAGAGAGAGAGTAAAACGATCAATAACTATCCCTTTTTAACTCGATAATTGATATGGACCTAATTAATGTATTATCTTCAAATTCTGGACAAGATATAATTTTCTCAAGTTATTTATTCTAGAATAATGATAAAATGTCAATCTCAGCGAAATTTGTAGAACTTACTAATAAAAAGATCCTTCTCGTACACAATGAAATCAGATAAGGTTTTTCGAAGTGGAGCCTAATTCATCATTCATTGTTAAATTTAGGGATCTTAACAATTCGTTTTTAGTGAGAATAAAATCTGATATTTCAAGAAAAAGAAACTGACCTAAATTATTTAATCAATAATGACAGAAACCATACTCTTACGAATAACATAATATGCAAACAGCCGAAATCAATAATGACAACTCACCTATACTCTATATACTCGGTTGTTTTATTACGAAAAATATCTTCTGTAAAATTATCTTTATGCGGATAGATAATTGCTGAAGCCCAACGTGTTGGAGTTAATAAACTTTCAGTTAAACGCCTTGAAAGAGATGGAATTACTACTGGACTAGGACGAAAATTTGTCGGTGGTACTGTGGTACTTGTTCGTGGGCGATTTTCTCCGATTATTTCTCGAGCTAATAAAGAGAAACAAACAAATCAAACTACAAATTTAATGTTTAAAGTGAAGTTATGAGTAGAAAGGTATTTATTAAGTCTCTTGCCAACTTTACCACAATTGATTTTCATACATTGTTAACGTCTATAAATATCACAGCTAAAACTCAAGTTGATAATTTCAAATACATTGAACACCAGGTTGGCTATCTTTGTAATAAAACTGACCTATTTGTAATAATCCAACTTCCAATATGTCATAATTTTGTGACAAAGTGTAATAACACCAACGACCGCTTTTGATAGCTTCTTCATCAGGGTCTGTGTTGTAATAAATTCGAAACTATCATTTTTGTGTTAACTGGAAATGGAAGATTTTATGTTGATGAATCTTTAATAGTACAAATTACTAACAAAACAAAATAACCTGATTGATAATGTTGAGAAAAGAAACTAAGTCCTAATTAAGATGATCAGCTCTAATAAAATAAAACGGTATATAAAAGAAGAACCTGATGAAGAAGTTATCAAAAACTATTATTCGCTCTAATACTCTTTATGTTTAAACATTTTGTGTTAAGTTTTAAATTTTTTTCAATAGTTGAGTTCATTAATCAATTGAAGCTAGACCAACATGGAATACCTGGAATCACTGGACTGTCGTTTCATTCTATTGTGGCTGCTCCTCACTAGAACTCCGGGAAATATCTCTTGAAGCCAGTCACTAGTGAATATACAATATATACAATATTTTCCATGTAGTGCAGATAAAAAAATATCTAAGAAAGCTAGTGTAATGTTATTCAGGTCAAAAATATCAGGTATGTTCATGAGTACTTAGTTATGTGTGAATAAATATAAGATTTATGATGTGACTGAATGACTCAAATTGTCATTATGTCTTACGAAAGAATTCCAGTAGGTTATACATTATTTTGGACTGAGGTTATCCGCCACATTTTTATCCTTACTAAGTGTGTCATGTCCAGAGATTTCGATTATTCTGACATCCATTTAGTGGGTAAATAATGAGTGTTATAATGCTATTTACATTAGAGATTTCATTTCAAGGCGTTTCTTTATATTTGAGTTTATGATGCCTTGGGGCCAATCAGAAATTAGCCAAATAAAAGTGAACATGATTGGTCAAGAAATAGCTTTCATTTCTAAGGGGTAAAACACGTTATTAGTGACTTAATTTTCCAACGGAGAGATGTGTATATATGAATGAGCATACATAAGTGTGGATTTGGATTATTCAATAAATTTCCATTCTTACTCTCAGCCTTTCCAATCGAGTTGGACTGTGTAGGAAAATTGCGTATCACTATCAACTCAGAGACACAGTACGTTACAACACTTTTTCATTCGGTATACTGAGCTGTATATCACTGACATGTTCATAGTAGACAGTTTTAGATATCTGAAATGAAAACTTTAGTGAAAATTAAACTGAAACGGCACCAATCACCCATTAAATGAATGGGAAAATGACTGAAGGTGATGCATCCGATACTCCCAGTGAAATATGAAAACGTCGCAGATAACCGAAGTCGTTTTTGTTTTAGGAGAATTATTTGGATATTACTAGTATCGAATTCCAAATTTCTAGATTCTAAAGAATTATTGGATCTTTTTCGTAAAGTTTAAATATTGTTCGGTACAGGTCAAGATTTCACGAAACTTTTTAATATAAACTGCACCACAATCGTTATGACCTGATTTCTAGACACAGTTCTGCATTAATAATAAAGATGATTCTATTTTTATTTGAACCAAAGTATTTCAGTTTGTTGGTTATTGAATTACAGTAAGTAGATGACATACTTCTGTTTGATGAAGACGACGAAATGAAGTCTTCTAACAGCCTTGATAAATATTCCAAGTATGTTTGGGAAGCGTTTATTCTCCCTATGAATGCAAAATATTGCTTTGGGACTGATCTGCGTCAACACTTGGACTAATGGTGGTGAGTGAAGTAGTTCAGTAATTCGACTACTTCATTTATCTTGAGAGTCTTATGAACACTGGTTAGTTGGTATCTGATAAGCTTTCAACAAGGATTCAGAAAACTCCCTGGGGTAATCTTTTTTACTATGATTGAAACTGCTACTTTTACTACTTCGATATTGATCTTGATAGTTCTTCTCATTGGGCTGATGGATTATGGCGATTTGGGTTTATGGGTGTTTGTGTTAGGTTCTTACAATGCTCACGGCTAATAGAGCAAGTTTTAATTGTTACTATTCAGAATCCGTTGTAAATAAGTAAAAAGAATATAAAAGGTGTTTAACAATTTGAAATTAATCCTTCGAATATCTTTTATAAATGTCCTAAAGTTCAATACCTTTTTTCTAAGAGTCGCAGAAAAAGGCTTCATCGATCAGTACTGCAGTTTTACCATACCACTAAGATGGAACATCAGCTTTCTAAAAGTTGTAGATACCACTTATAGTGAACACTAACGAACACGAGACCTAGTTTTCGGACTTTCTGGGAATAAAACCATTACAATTTTCAGTGGCCCTAGATCTGACTCCAGTTAGGTCGTTTCGGATTGTTTTCAAAATTATCACTGTCGAAATATATATTTGTCGCCTATCCCCGTATATAATTATCGACTTAATCCGCGTTAGTGAATAACGGGCTTAAATAAGTCAAATATGAAAATAAATTTCGAATACATTTATTTGATACAATCATTATCCAGACAAATGAGCAAAGAAATGAAGAGAAGAGAGTGAAGCGGAAGGAATGTGAGCCAACTCGATTTAATCACACGTTAATCAAGAGTTATCGTGCACACATACGCTTACATAAAAACAGTCAAGGTTGATAAACGGATAACTAACAAGATCAAAGAGTGAATAGATTGACCTGTCCGAAAGCTAGAATAAGCTATGTGGGCTTAACGTAGCACTACCATCTGAAGTAGGTAGTGTACAAGTGAAAGAAACAAAGCGTTGGATTGTATAAATTATCAAGTGTGATCTTTCGGATGTAAGTAAATAGGAGAAGAATAATAGAGTACAACTACAGTTCAAACTATTCCACTAACTGCAACATAGATAAATGTGAAAAACTTGTATGAATTAATAGCAGTCTTCAATTAGATAGAGTACCGTGTCATTACTTTTGCACAATAATCATAAACAATACAAAATTGTTTTTAGAACATTACGTATATTAACGAACAAGATTACTTTCAATCAGATCGTTATCAGTCTTTGTTCTAATATAAATGAATATCTATATGTAAATATTAAAATAGTTAAGACAATTTTTGAGTAAATGACCTTAATTAAATCGATCGCATAACTACACATAATAGGCAAAAGCTACAAATTGATAGTAAGAAGACAGGTGTACTAGTAGTGCAATAAAAATATTAAAATAAGTTATAGTCAGTAGTTCAACATGGGAAGTTAAATTTGGGTCAATGAACACTAAAACAGTAACGGTCGTGGATGCGCACTGTTGAGGAGTCCCATATTAAGACTAAACAGTCATCGCGTTAGGAAACGACGAAGCTATACAATAGATTACTCGAAATGATTCGCTTTTATCTACCACATGACCACTGTTAACTAACTGTCATAAACTGCCTTAATTGGTTTAATATTTTCATATATCCATGTAAACATTCATGTTTATTGGAGTAAAGCCTGATGTTGATCTAATTGAATAGTTCGCCTATAAATCTTTTTCTAATATACATGGTGGGAATTTTTTAAGTATCTTGATATTTTTATCAGAAATTAAAAGTTTTTATTTTGGTGAGTGAGGGAAAAAACTGATAACAAATTTTATAGATCCTGAAAATAAAAACACTTACTAGCAGAACTACTGGAATGTTGAAAAAATGAATATGTAGCAGATAGATCATATGATGACGGACCACATTGTGAAATAGTAACATTATCATTATGACCATCGACAATATCATATGATTTCTGTTGCTCCACCGAAGCATCATAACTGATTATATCATTATGACTGTTATCATTAACAGTATTAACACTAGTTTCACCACTGACTGGTATTGTTGACGATACAGCTAGAAATGGTGTTTCTTCATTTTTAGCATCTTTAAGAGCTACCCACTTATCATTGTTAAAATGAGTATCTGTTGTATCTAATAAAAATATTCTACCAGTTGGAGCTGAATGAAAGCGTTCAAATCCAGTGTCATTAACCTATAAAGAAGAGAAATAGTTTAGAAAAAACGGAAAAATGCATTATAAAATATCCTATAACAAAATAAATATGCTTATCCCACTGAAGGACACACTCACTCACAACTCACTTTTTCAACAGTATACTCAGCTGACATTATTCTGTTCTGTTTATTTATCATATAAATATTCACAAAATCTCCGATCAAGATGTAATGGTGTGCTTACTAGTGACTTGCCTCTAGGTGAACCTCTCAGGTTCTAGTAAAAAGTAATTATTGGTGGAGTCTAATCATGTCGGATGTGAGATAATTACTGTCGATGGTATCGAATGGTCATCGTGCTATACTGTGAACTGGTCGCAGTTGAAAACATTAGCCACTGCATTACGAATCAGTGGTCTGAAGGTTAGGTGTTTTTCATGGGACTTGATGGTTGTAAGTTACGTTCCGGATGAAACCTCATGTTATGATGACATGCATAAAGAGTGAATAAAAGTAATATTTGATTGTAATCAATCTTGCAAAGAAACGCTTAGTTACAAGTTCATCAAGAGACACCTAGCTGACAGCCTATTGACGACGCAATTCCTGATCATTTCTAAGAGAAAATTTAATCTGTACACAAAGTATTTTTCCAGAAATCCCAAGTCGGTTATCCAAACAATCTAGAATAGACGTTGTTTACGAACTGATCTATCCAGTTGAAACAATGTTATGGAAATACATAGATACCAAACATTACTGGATTGAGTGACTACTGCCTTTAGCAATCCAAAGCCATTATGATATACATATATTGAGCAAAATAAATTCTTGTTTCATGGGCAAATTCACTGAAAATCTTCATTTAGATGACATAATCATTTATTTGATCTCCGGAGATGGATTCAGTTTATGCAACAATTAGAAAAAGAGGCAAGTCGAAAATCAAACGAAAAGATCACTTCAATTCAATCAAAACAGTGATTTATTGACTAATCATGTCACTTACTGAAGAAAGGCGATAAAGTTATATATTGGAAGATGGTTGAGCGATATTACGAATCTACTGGAACTAAACATGTAAACCACTGATGTTAAGCGTTCACTTGCAGGACTGAAGGTCCTGGGTTTGATCCTCAGTAGAGGAATCTTTGACATGCACTGTTGCAGACTACTGTACCAACAAACGAGACAGATACTCGGTACTTTTTTAACTAAGATCACTTCGTGATGCTAACCATGTAAATTAGGATTTGTTTCGATACGAGACCAGATCATTTGTGGAAAGAATTCAAACGCTTCAACATTACTTGAAGTTCTGAATGACGATGTTGAATTTCAAGTAAGTAAACCTGAGTGGCAATTTATATAAGGAAATTGTTCGTGAGTTTAAATATGAATTCATTTAATGGACAAAATCTTCAACTCACTTCAATGCCTTCCAACTTTTTACGAGTTCGTAACATTCGACGATTCCACATAGCTGATAGGATAACTTTCATTGCGTGCGGTTTATGAGCAGAAGTTGCAACTGGTGCAACTGGGAGACTAAAAGTCGTGATGCTACTCAACTAAAAAGAAATACAAATAAAAAGATTAAGTTAAGACTATACAATCAATTAAGTAAATAAGAGCCTAACAAAATGGGAATCAAACTATCGTTTTTAAAAGAATATAGCAGTTATTAAAGCAATAAAAATTATTTTATTCGTTAGTTATGTGATACAAAACTACAGCTCAACTGTCTAATTACACGTATAGAGCAATGGTTTATTGATTGTAGAGCTTAGCTCCTAACCAGCAGGTCACAGGTTCGAACCAAGCCCTGATTACTTCGGTTTGGACAGCAAGGTATTATTATCATTGACCTTTATACAAAGTTTCACAATATACTGTTTCTATCTATCCAATGAAAAAACAAAAAACAAACTAGTTTCTAAAAAGTTAATCATCTTTTCTTATTGTCCACAAAACCACATTTATTACGAGCATCTGCCATCATGAAGGTTATGAATTTAATGATAATGTCTTACTTCACGAAGATAAACCGGTCTTTGAGATTCAATCGGTGGCACGACAGAAGAATTAGCAAAAGAGACCTAAAACACAAAAAAATGGTATAAGATGATATTCACAGATAAGAGACTTAAATGCAAAAAATAGAACTCAACTTAAATTCTTAGATTTCTATAGTGGCATTTTACAGGAGACAATGAGTATAAAAGGTGAAATAGTTATTCCGATCTTATGAATTGTATAATCGATTCCGAAAGTTCTCTTATTATTCTCTTTTAAAGATATTAGACAGTACTAAAAATCACAGTATTCCAATGAAGTAGATCGAGTGATTTTCAAGTATAAATATCCAAAACTACGATGTCTTTTCACATATTTTAACAAACAAACTCGTTTGAATAGTTGGATGACGTTATCTCAGATTTTGGTAGTTTAAAGTTGAATAGGCGTGGTAGAAAGTCAATAATCATATCAAAACCGAGTGGTGAATTGCCTCCTGCAAACGTTAGCAACTTTAAATCGAATATAGGTTCACTTTTGACAAAATCTACTTTAGAACAATCCACTTTTTTCGATTCTCATTGATTTGCAGCGAGACCTAACAATTAAACAAGGGTAAAGGTAAGCATTTTATCCTTAGTCGCAGCGTGATTGCTTTCACGAGCTGTACGTTCCAGCACATTTTTATATTTTGTTTGTTATCAGGAAAATTAAAAATGGTACTTCAAATTTCTTAAACGGTAAGTTTATATTTCAGAGTAGAATTTTTTGTTTTTGAATCATTCGTTAAATGGCAACTAACGTCAGCATATTCGATTTAATCAGAAAAATAAATCTGCCAATTTTTCAAAAATAACAACATTTTAAAATACTTCAACATTGTCAGAAATCTAAAAAAAGTCACTGTAGCCTTAAATATAATAATAATAACAACGTACTTGACGTCTATTGATAATCTTCATTGGTTCAGAATGTGAACTTGAAGCCAGCTGAAATTTTGAAAGGATATGAAACGTAAAAACAAAATAAACATGTAATAAGGAACAATTTAGCGATAGTAACTTACACGATGTCTTAACGACGATCTCGATATATCACATAGAGCTGGAGAGGCAGTCAGCTATAACAAAAACAAAACAAATAGGATATCAAATTAATACTTTCTTAAAAATTCGAAAACATGAACACTATTGTGCTTCATTCGGTTATCAGTTTTGACAGAGTGACATGTTTAGGTAATTTTTTAGAAAAAAAATTCAAGTATAAATTGACTGTGAAATTCGAGACATGAAATATATTTTCTGTTATTCAATTCATTAAGTGAACGTAGATGCATAACTATAATGATTAGTTAATGTCTATAGAATATTTAATCAATTCCCAATAATAACTTGGATTAATTTTAATTTGGTTATTTATTCTCTCAAGAAGTGGTTTACACTAAGTCACGAAACGTCAGAAAATCTAATTTTCTACTCATTGGGATATTACAAATATATTATTTATTTACAATTCCCAATAATATCATGTATCAACGTATAGTTTCTAAGAGTTATGAATTTGTTGAAATAGTTGCACCACAACATCATACTGATGTATAGAAGAATAGGGTTCTTCTGCAATACAATGACATAGTTATATACAAAATATTAGCACAAAAAGTCACACAATAAGACATCATAAGCGATTGCAGAACATCCGTTTGTAGGTTAATCGCTCTCCAAGCAATTAGGACCTGAATGTAAAGATTAATTCTTAGGCAGCGCATCAATGGTACATATTTCAAATGTATTGTAACGTAACACAGCAATAATCATGATATGATGGAAAGAAAAATCAATTTCCGATTGATTTACTCATTATGAGTTTCGTTCAAGATTAATTCCGTTTTGATTCAATGTAATGATTACTCAGTGTAGTATTTATTTTCTTTTCTCGTATGATATTTTATTCTGTATAATATGCGATATTCTTGTATGCCATTGACATGAACTATGTTCGGTATATGATTTGTTATAACTCCAAGTATTTTTCATATATGTGATTTCATTCTAATTACTAACCGAAATGGGTGTATGAATCAATATATAAATGAATGTATTTTCTACTAGAACCGTCGTCGTGTTTTGGGGTTAAGAAATATTCAGTTATACCAGTTTTTGTATTCTTACTTTCGCGTTGTGTATAAGTGATAAGCGTTTCCGATATAACAATCAGCGACGACCAGATACAAAAAGTAAGCACTAAAAGAGACGAGACAATTCAGCATTCAACTGACAAGTTATGACAAACTAATTAGCAACTACTAGTTATATCCTTAAGAACAATAGTGATTTCAATAAATTATGATCAACTTACAACAGTTAAACGATCACCTTTAATGCTTCCATAACGTTTTATTAAATACCGCAACCGTCGTTCATTCCAATCCTCAATAGTAGTTTCACGAGAATCAAAGCCAAAAAATGATAAAGAACCATCAATCACTGAATTTATAGGTCTAAAAAGTATTGATAAATATCTTAATGCAAAATAGTAATAAATATTACCTCATCATATTACGACGTGAGGCATTCCTAGAATAAAAGAATTTACGTAAAATAAACTATTAACATCAACTACCTTACGATATTGCGTGATCCTTCGTTTCTACCCAGACTATCAGAATCTCTTCGTGACATGATCAAAATTAATGTTAATGGTATAAAACAGCAAACATTGAAATATATGTCAACTGGTTTGTCTGTGAAGCGAACAAACAATCAACTATATTGTAATAAAAGATCATAATAGTTTGAGAATTAAACAGGAAACTGTTTGGTAAGATGCTGAAAACGAAAACGGTTTTATTTATATAAGCGAACAGTGGTAGCAATAAATATAAATCAATTTATCCATACAAAAACATGTGATGTCACGTTGTTTATTGATTTTTAGTAATAATATTTCGAAACTATAGTTATAAATGCACACGTGCTTCCAAGCATATGCACACAATCATGTGTATGTAAATTATTTGATGATAAAAATATTTACTTTATCACAGAACCAAGAGAATGACAAGTTAATTTCTAAAAGATAACTGGTAAAGCTAAAGTAAAGGGATGAATTCTACGAACTCATAAAATCACCTTAAAAATGTTCTGCTGCCTTTTGAGTATGAGATGAGAATTAAGTAGTTTATAACAAAAAACAAATGCAAATAAAACATATGGACAGAAAACTGTTGCTTCTTTTGCAGCTCATACTTAAATTGCGATTATGCTGTAGTGCGAAAATCTGTTTCTAAGCACTTTGATTGGTGTAGAAAGGTCACACAAGGAAGACCCCACAAATATCAATTAAAAACAGAAAATTCAATGATCTGTCCAGAAAACAAATAAAAAATACCTAGGTGCTTCACATAATGTCACAACGTCTGTAAATAAATTATTGATAGTTTTTTTTAAAATCAATAGACTTTAAAGGCATCTACTAAATTAGCATCGGTTTCAAAGCTAGTTTTAACAAGCTCGAAGTGAGACAAAAAGCATAACAACTTAAAAAAAGCAAAAAAAAGGTTAGTGGTGAGAGACGAAAGTAAAAGATTTGTAAAAGTGGTAAACGGATATAACACATAACACTTTGAACCATACAAGAAAATATGTTTTCCAATGTCAGATATACGAATATCAGAGAAACATTAAAAATTCCGAACAAAACATGCCATACAACATAAACTAAATGCCTACTGATCCAAGTCACTTTAGTAGGCGTAGACTACTTGGTCAGGGTCTGCTTGACAATCACAATCAGTAGCCAAAGATGCTTGGTGGCACAACTCAGGATTGGTCGCAGTGGCGCAGATACATTCATTTTTTTATCTTCATCCAAGTCTTGACTACCAGTATTTCTTCACATGTGCCTTTTCATCACATTCTGTCGAACTATGATATTGATGTTTGGTTTTTATTATTATAGATGCTAATACATTAAATTCCGTTCTTTGATACTCAATAGTATTCACCTAAATTAGTTTTACTGGTATAACTAGTTTAAATCCAAAGTCAATTCAAAAGTAAACCACTTCTTAACTTGCAAGTATTTACGAGAAAATATTGTGTTCAGTGGGTATTTAGTTATTCCGAGTGGGAAAGTGGCTTACTAGTCAAAGCAATTCTCTGTCAATTCGTGGTCTACAAGTTCAAGTGCGAATTAGCGTGCTTTGGTTTGGGTATTTAGGTAGCCTCAGTGGTTCCTTCAAAATGGAATTCTATGAGGTATATGAAATGCTACTTTTTTTACCAAGTTTCACTGGTTAATCATCGATCACAACTACTAAAAAATTGGTAATAAGGCAACAGCTCTGACTCCAATGACAATTACTCAGACGTTTATCAGATCATAATACCATTTAAAGTCAAGCTGCTTTAGTCAGTTCTTTGAAATGTAGGTGATGGTTAAGAGGGTCACAAGTTCAGTTCTTAGTCTCAAACTTTGTATTTTGCTTATCCTAAATTTGATTGTAATTACACCTCAATTTTACAGAAACTTTAACTCTGTAGGTTAGTTAGTTAACTCTATGAGCTAGTTCCTACCACGAGTTCTGACTTGTTCAGCAAGCCATTTACCTCATATCAATTAACCAACACTCAATATATCTTAGATTTTCCTACAGGCTACCGTGAGCATAGAGGACTTAGTCATGAAACAAAAACCAATAAGTTTGGAATACATTCAGTTCTTGTAGGATGATTTGTAGATACTGATCAGCAAACTCATCAAGTGTATTTTTAGTCTAAGGTTCTGGGTTGAGATAATTTTGTGGCTATTTATAAGTAGATTACTTTTGGAACAACTCTGGGACGAAGATTTTCGAGGTAGAGCACAGTGTAAAGATATAGTGACTCTTCATATCTCCTATATGGATGCATTCTAATTGTTGGACAAATATTGATAAATCAGACATCATATGACTATTGAGTTCGTCTTACATTCCTAATAATTCTACATTTCTTATAAGTAATCGTGGCTTTCTATATATTTATTTTTGTTATCCATGCCCTTGTTAACCACATTTATGTTACTATATGTGCTTTGTTTGTGTTCATGCCTGTTCACCAACTACTCTGTTTGTTGTCCACTTACTAGCCTAAATTACTCTGTTTTACCTAAATAAGGTAAGACAGAATTAATTGACGAATTGGTATGTCACCGACCCCAAACCCCCGTTTATTTAGTCGGCAATCACAGTTTTTCTGTGGATAAACATATATGAAATATATAGCTTCTACTAAAATTTCGTATATTTACTTCTGGTATACCGTCGTATTAACATGTTAAGTTTTAGGAATATAAACGAAGATTAACATGCGACATACAGGTGTATACACCACCATAATTTGCCATCAATCAAAGTGAAAAAAGGAGCCAAAACAATAATGTTGAAGTTGGTTTGAAGAGATTATACGTGCATTTCTCATTAGCTAACTATATAAATGACTTAATGAACAACTCCATACTTAAGATACTTCAGGCAGTTAGTTTCGATTGCGTTCGAAAGAGCTTTAAGGTTGTGTTAGATCAGGAAGTTAAACAAACATGAGACACTAAGTAAGTTAGGTCATAGCTTGAAGCGTCGAGACTTGTATTAAGTCTGAAACAAGATATCTTGCATATACACCACATTTTCGAACCTTCAGTCTTCAGTCTTCAGTAATAAAGATAGTAGGTTAGTGAACCTGCGTTAATCCTAACAGGTTGGCTTCCAGTGAAGGTCCAGTTTCTCTTTGAAAATATTCACTGATGGGGCTGATACCACTTGATCGGGCAAAGCATTCCACCGACAGGACAAACAAAGTGAAAGACTAAGGAAATACTAACAAATGCTCAGCTATTTTAACGATACTCTATTCCATCCTAATTTTCTATCAAATTGGATTCAAACAGTGTTTGTGAACGGAAGTTGCAATTGATCGTGAATAACAGGCTCAATAAATAACCTTCCCAAATGATAACAACATTCCAAGCAAACAAATGATGGTTTACACAATCAAGACATAAGAAACATATTACAATAAGTTCATACTCTATATATACTAGCGAAATGTTACTACGGTAAATTACGCGAGCTTTCGAAATGAGTTCAAGCTATGAGAATTCAGAGACGGAAGTTATCACAATAAAATCACACCTTTTAGTAATGTAAGGAATTACAAATTCAAAACCCGCTAAGTTGTCACTTCCAGCAAACTATTCCCCCAACCGAACATTTGCCATCACACTAACTGGTAAATTGTTGGCATAAAACAAAATAGTAAACAAACTACGGTTTTCAATAATGACACAAAGTAATATGAGTTGTAGTTATTCCTACAATTTGAAGTGATGTGATAAATTAATTTCGTCTCAGAATGATCAATAATCAGTCGCGATTTGATGTGCAGTGTCCAATATCTTTGTTGCGAGTTTATATAAACCGATTGATTTCTTTGAGCTCGCTTTCTGTTGTTCCCGGATGGTTCCAAGTATTTTTTTATGTCAAGTGGGTGCTATTCTAGCCCTCTACTGCACTAGTTGCAGTCAACTCGTTAGTTATTTGTGGCATCACCCAATTTACAAGCCTTAATAAAACCAGCCACATGAATGCTCGGCGAAATTACACTTGATTGCAAATAACAAACCTCTTGCCCAGCAATGTGATAGCCGCTGATACTCAGAAACCCTACGACCCTGAAACAGGCGCACGTAACCAAATCATATGATATACAAATCTGTAGCGTGGGTTGATTTGCGATTGACTATGAACACCACTACAAGAAGACTACAGTAAAACAGTCTGTGGTGTTTGAATGAACTAATGACTCCTTTGTACTTGTTGAATGTTTGATTTCGAATTCTAAATACAGTACATTCGTTGGTGCTTGTGTAGTACTTCTTGATTCAATTGCGTTATCCCTGGGATTCTTAGTTCATACTATAATTCAATTACTTCTAATTATCATATTGGCGTCGCGATGGAGCCTGCAATGGAACAGTTAGATATTCATTCAACTTCTGAAGCTTTTGAGGACTATTTGGAAAGGTTTGAAATTTGGAGCATGACCAAGAAGGATGTTATAGGTGATAAAATTGTGGCTTATTTCCTGACATTTATCGGAAAAGAAGCATACAGCTTATTGAAAACCTTGGCATATCCAGAAAAACCTATCTCAGTTCCTTATGCAACTATTAAGGAGTTATTATTAAATCATGTAAAGTGCACTAGTTTTGAATGCCGTGAAAGGGCAAAATTTCATAAGATGACTCGTCGAAATGACCAAAAGGTTAAGGAATTCATTCTTGAATTTCAGAAACAAGCTGCCAAATGTAATTTTGGTGATCAACTTCATGTGCAACTGAGAGATCGATTAATTGCAGGAATTAACTTGCCGGGTTTGGAAAGAGAGCTGTTAAGAATGCCGAACTGTTCCTTTCAAGATGCTAGAACTGCTTGCATCAACTACGAGACAGTGAATGAACTTGATATCCAGTCGATGAAGATTTCTAATACTTTGCTTAGTCGTCATGATGAAATACAATCTCAGGATCAATCAAACTTGCGTTCGTTTAACAGTGATTCCTATTCTCGTGTAAATATGAAAGTTGTTTCAACAAGGAATTACAAAGGAAATCACTAAGGTGAGACCAAGTTTGATAAATGTTTATCATGTGGAAAACTTCATTCTCCACCATCTCAAAACTTCATTCTCGTAATTCATGTGCATTTCGTAATGCTAAATGTTTTAGATGTGGTAAGATAGGACACATTCAGTCAGTATGCAAAGCTGCTGTTCATTTTGCCTCATGTAGTACTAAATCTTGTAATTTAGATCCCAATAATTCAGCTGTTCCTAATGATCATTTATCTTTGTCTACCATGTCGAAAGGTAATGCTCATATTCAAAAGCGATTATATACATCTATTGGTTCATGTCATGACTTTATTGTTGACACAGGCAGTATAGAGTCCATTATTTCATTCAAGAACATGATATCTTTCGATCCTAACGTTGTGGTACGACCCACTGAAGTATCAATATTGGGGATTACTGGACACAGACTGCCTATACGAGGATGTTGTGAGTTGCTAATAAGAGATGATAATTCTTCGTACATACCTTGTGAATTTTTAGTTAGCGAAACAGGACTGTCAATATTGGGCTTAAGGAATTTGAAAAGGCTTAAAGTGGAGCTGTCTTTCCTAGTTTCTAAAGAAAACAATGATGCTTTACTTAAAGATTTGATAGCCACGTGTGCTAAGTGCAGTGGAGGTATGAAGATTCAGCCTATAAAACTTCAAGTACAGGGTGAACCAGTATTTCTTAAAAGACGAATAATTCCTTATGGTCTTCGAGAGGCAGTACATAAAACATTAAACGATTTGTGTGCGTAAGGCATAATTGAACCGATCCAGTCCTGAGCATGGGGTACTCCTATTGTTACGCCACTGAAGTCGGATGGCAAAACCCCTAGAATATGTGGTGATTATAGATTAACACTGAATTCCCGTTTGTTGAAGCAAACGTGCACGACGGTAGAGGCTGAAGATATTCTAAATCGACTTCATGGTTCTAAAGTGTTCTCGAAAGTTGACCTAAAAGATGCTTGTCTCCAAATCCCTTTAGATCAATCTTCATCTCTTTTGACGACAATTAATACTCCTTTTGGTCTGTTAAAATACAATTCCCTTCCATTTGGTCTAAGTTGTTCTCCAGCTATATTTCAGGAAGTCATGAATAATGTAGTTAGTGATCTTGAGGGCGTTGAAGTTTATCAAGATGATCTCATTGTCCATGGTTCTGATAAGGTAGTTCATAACCAGAGACTTATTGCTTTATTGCGTCGTTTAATTGAGAAGAATATTACAGTGAATCCAAATAAGTGTTCATTTTGTGTATCTAATTTCGAATGTCTTGGATACCTAGTTGAAGGTAATGGTTTTAGACCAGATATGAAACGACTAGCTCCACTGACAAATGCACCGTCTGCAAAAAACCTTACGGAACTACGTTCACTAGTGGGTGCTCTTCAATACTATTCCCGTTTTATTCCTAATTTTTCTGGTAGTGCAAATTGTTTATTTAATATTTTGACATCCAATTCATTTAAATGGGGTGAGGAACAAGAGTCATGCTTACGTAGTCTACTAAAGTTTCTTCAAAGTGATGCTGTTCTTCGAACTTACTCCCCTAGTGTACAGTCTGTGCTTATCACTGATGCATCAGCTGTGGGTATTGGCGCAGTTTTGGAACAGGAGGGTAGACCAGTTATTTGTGTTTCACGCAAACTTACTGTTACTGAACAAGGTTATTCACAGACTCAGCGAGAAGCATTAGCTGTGTATTGGGCTGTTAAAAGACTCCATAAATATTTATTCGGAAAGAAATTCACTATTGTTACTGATCATGAGGCTTTAAACTTTATTTATCATCCTGAAAAATCCTTAGCACGTTCCTCAGCTGCTATGGTTCAACGATGGAGTATTGCTTTGAGTGCCTATGACTATACGGTTCAGCATAGGAGTGCCAAACAAATTCAACATGTTGACTACATTTCTCGACAGTCATTACAAGATAAACCTTTTAATACTTCAGACTGTTTGTTAGTGCAACCTTTACCAGTGAAACGTCCAGATCTCATTATAGAAACTCGTAAATACTTTGGATGTATAATTAATGCTATACGGAAAGGTTGGAATGCTAATTTGAAACGTAGATTTCCTATCTATTTTTCAAAGCGGGATGAGCTATCTACTACTCCTGATGGTATTTTGTGTTTAAATGATCGTGTTGTTATTCCTCCTTCATTGCGTAAATCTGTCCTAGAAGATCTTCATAGTGGACATTTAGGTGTTGAAAAAATGAAGTCATTGGCGAGGCTCACATGTTGGTGGCCAGAGATAAATGCAGATATTGGTCGTACAGCAAACAATTGTGAAAAGTGTCATAAGCTGAAAAATCAGCATTCGAAGTGGACTCCATGGCCAGTATCGTCTGAGGCCTGGCAGAGAATTCATGCAGACTATTGTGGTCCGTTTCTTGGCAAATACTATGCGCTTGTAGTTATTGATTCTTTTTCAAAGTGGCCTGAAGTTTTCTTCACAACTTCACCAAATTCTGACTTCACAATTCAAGCATTAAGAAAGGTGTTTAGTCGAGAAGGGGTTCCAATGGTGTTAGTAACTGATAACGGCTCTCATTTTGCTGCAGATGCATTCACTACCTGGTTAAATGGTATAGGGTGCAAACATCTGTTTACTGCTCCCAGACATCCTTGTTCCAATGGTCAGGCAGAAAATTTTGTCAGGACGTTAAAAACTGCCATTGATTCTATTGCTGCCTCAAGATTTAATGAGCTGGAGAGGGGAGTAGATACCTTTCTACTGCAATATAGAAATGCCAGACATTCGGTGACGAAAGAGACTCCATCAAAACTATTAAAAGGAAGAACTCTTCGGTCGAATATGAGATGTTTGGAGTCTGCAGAAGTTACGTATTATCGTGGCAATGATCTTCGACCATCCACGTTGATCGTTCTGAAGAATGTCGGGAAATCTATGGTGCGACTTCTAGATATCAATGACTTAAGTACACACAATCGACATGTTGATCAAATACAATTGCAGCAACCAGGTGAGTCTGTTCCGATTTCAGTTGTTAATTCTAATACTAATGAGTGCATTCTAGATAATACAGAGTCTTTATCCAATACATTGTCGGACAGACACAGCATGAACTTGAGGAGAAGACGTACAATTGATTACAGACCCTTAGACTCTAATTTAAGCTGTGGCGGATGTGGTGTTTGAATGAACTAATGACTCCTTTGTACTTGTTGAATGTTTGATTTCGAATTCTAAATACAGTACATTCGTTAGTGCTTGTGTAGTACTTCTTGATTCAATTGCGTTATCCCTGGGATTCTTAGTTCATACTATAATTCAATTACTTCTAATTATCATACAGTCACTGGTGCTATTGGTTATAATAATAATTGTTTTCATTGAACCAATCGCGTTCTGTTGACAAAAGTAGGTCACTACAGGAGCCTTTCGCTAGAAAGGGTTTACACTTTCGATAGGTAGCTGTTTGGCTCATGGGACTGATCGGCAAACGTGCTATTGAAGGATGGAAGAATTGGCGAAACAGGAAGCGATCATTTATCCTCGAGTTGCCGACGAAAGTCTTTTGCGTAGAACGGTACCAGGAGAAGTGTGCTGTATTTGTTGGTCGAGCTAGCATACCACACCAGAGTGGTTTGTATCCAGGATCTGAAGATCGCTTTTGTAAGGATGCGGACAATGGAACGTTGCAAACGCAGGACGAAACCACGTTGAGCCAAGGAACCGAAGGCGATCATGACAATCAAGCGTATACCAGGCGGAATCGAAACTAGATTATCGACTGAGTGCGTTGGCAAGAGCGTGGGTGATCAGGCCAGCTCCCGCCAAGGTTGACTGAAGTCGATGTTACCACACGGACGAAAGTCGGAGGCGCTGCCTCAGGATACAAAAAAAATCAAAAAAAGAAAAGTGTAGCATGCGTGTAGTATGTGAATAGTCCTACACCGTATCCGTTGTTGGCTGTGCGCTTGGTCGCGAAAGCGTACGGGTAATCGTACTCGGCGACTCGAACGTGAAACGGTAGTCTCGTTCGTACTTCCTGAGCCTGCGATCTCAATCGAGGTCAAGCACGACGTGGTCTGCTGATCTGGGCGTGAGACGGAAGCCTCGTCCGTAGATGGTGCAGATGACGCGTGCTGTTGACCGGGACGTGAGAACGAGGTCTCTGATGTATCTAGCGTGGGACCCGAGGTAGACATAGAGATCCCGCTAGAAGGTTTGATAGGTCTAGGATCGAGTCTCAAGTTATCGGGTAGAGCACTGTTCTCGACGCGTGCTGGTTTGAGACGAACAGATAGATAACTCTCGAGGGAGAACGACCTGTCGATGTTGTATTCGAGTTGACACCGGAGACAGCGTTCGCATAAATGCAGACAGTCGATGGACGTAGTCTGATTTACCGAAATCGTTACTGCTCTGTGGCTTGAAAAATTTCCCAGGCAGACGCAATGTCATGCCGGATACAAGTTCAGCGGCGGAACATTGGATATCTGCCTTCAAACCCGTTGTGATACCTAAGAGAACGAGCGGTGAGGTTTCGTACCAATTATCGTTTTCGTGTGCTCGAAGAGCACTTTTAAGCTGGCGATGAAACCGTTCAACTAAACCATTCGATGCTCGATGGTAGGCGGTAGTGCGTATGCTTTCCGTACCAAGCAGCCGGGTCAGTTAGGAGAATAATGTGGACTCAAATTGTTGTCCTCGGTCAGTCGTGACAGTCGAGGGGCAACTGTACAGTGCTATATATCGTTCTACGAAGCGGTGAGAAACTGTATCCGCCCTTATAGACGTGACGGGAATAGCTTCGGGCAATCTTGTAAAACGGTGGATGCACGTGAGTATGTGATCACACACATGCGATGGCAATGGTTCTACAATATCTATATGAACGTGATCGAAGCGAGCATCAGGCGTAGCGAACGTGCCGATGAGGGCAGCTACATGCCTGTGCACTTTTGATCACTAGTACAATTGGTAATAATAATAATTCTTTTCATTGAACCAATCGCGTTCTGTTGACAAAAATAGGTCACTACAAATTCACAAATAACTACCGAGTTTACTGCAACTAGTGCAGTAGAGGGCTAGAATAGCACCCACTTGACATAAAAAAATACTTGGAACCATCCGGGAACAACAGAAAGCGAGCTCAAAGAAATCAATCGGTTTATATAAACTCGCAACAAAGATATTGGACACTGCACATCAAATCGCGACTGATTATTGATCATTCTGAGACGAAATTAATTTATCACATCACTTCAAATTGTAGGAATAACTACAACTCATATTACTTTGTGTCATTATTGAAAACCGTAGTTTGTTTACTATTTTGTTTTATGCCAACAATTTACCAGTTAGTGTGATGGCAAATGTTCGGTTGGGGGAATAGTTTGCTGGAAGTGACAACTTAGCGGGTTTTGAATTTGTAATTCCTTACATTACTAAAAGGTGTGATTTTATTGTGATAACTTCCGTCTCTGAATTCTCATAGCTTGAACTCATTTCGAAAGCTCGCGTAATTTACCGTAGTAACATTTCGCTAGTATATATAGAGTATGAACTTATTGTAATATGTTTCTTATGTCTTGATTGTGTAAACCATCATTTGTTTGCTTGGAATGTTGTTATCATTTGGGAAGGTTATTTATTGAGCCTGTTATTCACGATCAATTGCAACTTCCGTTCACAAACACTGTTTGAATCCAATTTGATAGAAAATTAGGATGGAATAGAGTATCGTTAAAATAGCTGAGCATTTGTTAGTATTTCCTTAGTCTTTCACTTTGTTTGTCCTGTCGGTGGAATGCTTTGCCCGATCAAGTGGTATCAGCCCCATCAGTGAATATTTTCAAAGAGAAACTGGACCTTCACTGGAAGCCAACCTGTTAGGATTAACGCAGGTTCACTAACCTACTATCTTTATTACTGAAGACTGAAGACTGAAGGTTCGAAAATGTGGTGTATATGCAAGATATCTTGTTTCAGACTTAATACAAGTCTCGACGCTTCAAGCTATGACCTAACTTACTTAGTGTCTCATGTTTGTTTAACTTCCTGATCTAACACAACCTTAAAGCTCTTTCGAACGCAATCGAAACTAACTGCCTGAAGTATCTTAAGTATGGAGTTGTTCATTAAGTCATTTATATAGTTAGCTAATGAGAAATGCACGTATAATCTCTTCAAACCAACTTCAACATTATTGTTTTGGCTCCTTTTTTCACTTTGATTGATGGCAAATTATGGTGGTGTATACACCTGTATGTCGCATGTTAATCTTCGTTTATATTCCTAAAACTTAACATGTTAATACGACGGTATACCAGAAGTAAATATACGAAATTTTAGTAGAAGCTATATATTTCATATATGTTTATCCACAGAAAAACTGTGATTGCCGACTAAATAAACGGGGGTTTGGGGTCGGTGACATACCAATTCGTCAATTAATTCTGTCTTACCTTATTTAGGTAAAACAGAGTAATTTAGGCTAGTAAGTGGACAACAAACAGAGTAGTTGGTGAACAGGCATGAACACAAACAAAGCACATATAGTAACATAAATGTGGTTAACAAGGGCATGGATAACAAAAATAAATATATAGAAAGCCACGATTACTTATAAGAAATGTAGAATTATTAGGAATGTAAGACGAACTCAATAGTCATATGATGTCTGATTTATCAATATTTGTCCAACAATTAGAATGCATCCATATAGGAGATATGAAGAGTCACTATATCTTTACACTGTGCTCTACCTCGAAAATCTTCGTCCCAGAGTTGTTCCAAAAGTAATCTACTTATAAATAGCCACAAAATTATCTCAACCCAGAACCTTAGACTAAAAATACACTTGATGAGTTTGCTGATCAGTATCTACAAATCATCCTACAAGAACTGAATGTATTCCAAACTTATTGGTTTTTGTTTCATGACTAAGTCCTCTATGCTCACGGTAGCCTGTAGGAAAATCTAAGATATATTGAGTGTTGGTTAATTGATATGAGGTAAATGGCTTGCTGAACAAGTCAGAACTCGTGGTAGGAACTAGCTCATAGAGTTAACTAACTAACCTACAGAGTTAAAGTTTCTGTAAAATTGAGGTGTAATTACAATCAAATTTAGGATAAGCAAAATACAAAGTTTGAGACTAAGAACTGAACTTGTGACCCTCTTAACCATCACCTACATTTCAAAGAACTGACTAAAGCAGCTTGACTTTAAATGGTATTATGATCTGATAAACGTCTGAGTAATTGTCATTGGAGTCAGAGCTGTTGCCTTATTACCAATTTTTTAGTAGTTGTGATCGATGATTAACCAGTGAAACTTGGTAAAAAAAAGTAGCATTTCATATACCTCATAGAATTCCATTTTGAAGGAACCACTGAGGCTACCTAAATACCCAAACCAAAGCACGTTAATTCGCACTTGAACTTGTAGACCACGAATTGACAGAGAATTGCTTTGACTAGTAAGCCACTTTCCCACTCGGAATAACTAAATACCCACTGAACACAATATTTTCTCGTAAATACTTGCAAGTTAAGAAGTGGTTTACTTTTGAATTGACTTTGGATTTAAACTAGTTATACCAGTAAAACTAATTTAGGTGAATACTATTGAGTATCAAAGAACGGAATTTAATGTATTAGCATCTATAATAATAAAAACCAAACATCAATATCATAGTTCGACAGAATGTGATGAAAAGGCACATGTGAAGAAATACTGGTAGTCAAGACTTGGATGAAGATAAAAAAATGAATGTATCTGCGCCACTGCGACCAATCCTGAGTTGTGCCACCAAGCATCTTTGGCTACTGATTGTGATTGTCAAGCAGACCCTGACCAAGTAGTCTACGCCTACTAAAGTGACTTGGATCAGTAGGCATTTAGTTTATGTTGTATGGCATGTTTTGTTCGGAATTTTTAATGTTTCTCTGATATTCGTATATCTGACATTGGAAAACATATTTTCTTGTATGGTTCAAAGTGTTATGTGTTATATCCGTTTACCACTTTTACAAATCTTTTACTTTCGTCTCTCACCACTAACCTTTTTTTTGCTTTTTTTAAGTTGTTATGCTTTTTGTCTCACTTCGAGCTTGTTAAAACTAGCTTTGAAACCGATGCTAATTTAGTAGATGCCTTTAAAGTCTATTGATTTTAAAAAAAACTATCAATAATTTATTTACAGACGTTGTGACATTATGTGAAGCACCTAGGTATTTTTTATTTGTTTTCTGGACAGATCATTGAATTTTCTGTTTTTAATTGATATTTGTGGGGTCTTCCTTGTGTGACCTTTCTACACCAATCAAAGTGCTTAGAAACAGATTTTCGCACTACAGCATAATCGCAACTTAAGTATGAGCTGTTTCACAAAATTCTAGAAATGCTTGGAAGTCAAGTATTATGAGAACCTCACAGCCTACGCATCTCTTCTGGTTTCAGAGATAAAGTTCTTAATAGAGATTAATATAAATGGGACTGATAGGTATTACGCACGCTGTTTGATTAGCAAACGGACATATTTACCACATTAAAAGTGAGCCAGGTTGACAAAATCCTAACAAGCTTTCCTAATAAGTGACGAGATTTCTCCAGATAACAACCTATCAAGTCTGAAGATACCTTGAGATCAGATAAGTGGTCAAGTTTCTCAGTCCGTATTATCGGTGTTCTGAAACAAAATTCCACGTAACGAGGGAGGGAATCAAGTCCCATGCATGGTTGCATTGCCGCTCCAAAGTATCGGTATACTCTGCATTTTTCCAGTGTTTTCACCAAATAGAACGATGCCATTTACATACTATATATCTATTAGTAAGTTTTGAAGGAGGAAATAAATTCGTGCGAAGTTATATGAAGAAAACGTTATTAGTAGTAGTACATCCGTTGCAAAATCAACTAGAAATGAAGATATCCAGAAACGCTAAAGAACATCACTTGAAGCTAACAATTTATATGGAAATTCACTTTTATCTTATACTCGACTAGTAGTAGTTTAGGAGAGTCTATACAAGATTTATTTACTCCATCGGTGCAAATTTTAACCGCAAGTATTGTTTTAAATTTGTTGGTCAACATAGTTGTGTGACAGATAAAATTCAGTCGTTGAAAAATTATTTAATGCATAATGGTTATGTTTTTGTTGTTCTACCTTAGGTCCATGCACGGCCGTTCTAGTTTTCAGGCCCTTTGATTTCATTCCGTTTTAGTGTTATGAATATTGTACAATGCATCTTAGTGTTAATAAATCAGACTATTTACCATCATTGATAGTGCAGAAATCAGCTGTTAACTTCTATATTGGTCTTTGCCTCGCCTTATTGTCGACCTTATTCATTGGAACTAGTTTTATATTTAAAAAGCTTGCACTTCGTCGAAGTTCTAGGAATGGATTTAGTGCTGGTGAGTAAACTCATTCGTTTTGACTTCATTTATATATAAATTTAACGATATGTGCACTCGCCAGTAAGGTGTATGTAGAGTTTTAAGTAACATATGTTTCAGGTGAAATTTAAGACGGTGTTGTAGGCGGAAACTCGGGTTGAATTATTCATTCTAGTATTAACTTTTGAAGGATATTATTCATAGTCTGTTAATAGATTCACTAAACACTTCAGCACTGATACTGAAGTAGTAAAGTAATGTTTCATCCAGTTCCACTGAACTCGAACAAATGGTGTTATTTTTATAATGAGTCAGAATCGTATATGGGGGATCAGTTACTTAATGGTTTAAGCTATTGGTTTCCAGCCATTGAGTCAAAAGTTCGGATCATTTTTTGTCATCTTTCATATGGTAATCGGATAGTCTCTCTAGCTGTCAAATACATTAGGTTGGCTCGAGAATGCATATACAAAACTGAACTTTGTAAATGAGTTGGTCGTAGCTTACTAATTATAAATGACTTTATATTTTCTTCATTGGTTGGGATGAGCGTTGTGGATCATGAACTACTGCTTCTTTGACATGTTATAATGGTTAAAGACGGATTGAAGTGTGCATATTCTTTATCCACTTGAACCTAGTATTGAAGCTGATGACTGTTAATAGGTAATCACATGTGATTAAAGCTTAAAGATAACAGTTTATTCCTCACATATATTGTTTCATTATCTACCAAAAAAATGTGCCAATCTGTATATGAATTCTTGTACGTTTGTTAATTAATCTATATTAACATAGTCAAAAATGAGTAGTTAGTGAATAATCGGTAAATTTACCGCATGGTAGTCATAAGATATGATCAGCGAATTTAGATGACATGGTTTTAAACCCATTTCGATTGTAAAGTCGCATCCAGTTTTCGTATTCCGCTCATAAGTGAGTATTAGTATTACTTCACACTTTGCTTTTATCGATCTCATTAGTTCATTTTGTACTAAACTGTTCCTGGTTTCTTCTCCACTGAAAGTGTTACTATTATTATTATCTGACTATATCGGTCTTCATTTAGATAATTCCCTCTCATAATTTAAGCATGTGAAATGTGAAATATCCACAAGACCCCTTCTGATAATAATCATCATATACTCACTAGTGACTGGCTTCAAGAGGTATTTCCTGAAGTTCTAGTGAAAAGCCGTGACTAGTGGAGTTCAACCAGGTCAGTTGTGAGATAGTAACTCACTGAAGACAATGGTGGATGTGTTGCTCAATTTGGTGAATTGGTTTAAGTAAGACATTAACACCGCTGGATATCGGTCAGCTCAGTTGTCTGGTGGCTAAACGCTCACTCACGAGACTGATAGGCCTCGTGTTCGAGTCTCGCAGGACGGGATCTTGGATGCGCACTACTGATGAGTCTCACTATAGGACTAAACGACCGTCCAATCATTCCAGGTTTCACATGGTGATCAATTGACTCATGATCTCAACTATTAAAAATATTAAAAAGGAACGTTTGAGAAATTACTTTTCAACTTATTATTGTTGAGTCAATTGATCACAATTGACTTAAATGATTTGCTCGAATTCAAATGACCTTAATTAACATCAAGAATTAATCTCTTTGTTTTCAATAGATTTTTCTATAATAATTTAGTTTTAATAATTTGTTTGATTAATTTAAAATTTCTGAATACTCATAAATTTATGCATTTACTTTTGGTTGTTTGCTTATATTCACATTTAATGGATTGTAACTTAAATATCAAGTATGGATTATATGTATACGGCTTTTAATTACAATGTAAACACCTGTGTGGAATGTGAGGTTTGAATCTGGAACTCGTACTAGTTGAAAGTCAAATATTTTAGTCAATAAAATCCAAACCTTCGATTTGTACAGTTTTGTATTTCTTATGATAATCAATGAATTATATCCACACATAAAAGGAAATTATTAACCGTCGTACATATGTGTATGTGTATGAAAACAATAGAGAGGGTCTACTTAACCAGCTTTAAACCGAATTTTTGTACGTCTGTGACGGCTAGTAAACCTATCTGCCTGGATCGTAAAGAAATTAAACCAGTTGATGAGACAACAAAACTGACCCTGGTAAGCTGATACATACTGTCATATTATAATTGGACTAAAATGAGCTTATTTCAGTACGTAATGAGAACTTCAACAATTTGTTCAATCCTCTTGTGAATAGTTATTTATGTGAAACTAATGTATAAATGCTTTTTTATTATTCTTATTATTAATTTTACTAGGTGATGGATCCCTTAGTTATTTGTGTGAATGGATGTGGTGGATGGGTTTTATTCTAATGGGTATTGGTGAATTTGCCAATTTTGTAGCGTATACATTCGCTCCAGCTATACTAGTGACACCGTTAGGTGCATTATCTGTACTTGTTAGTGCACTGTTAAGTGTACGTTTTTTAAATGAACGTTTAAATTGTATCGGTGGATTTGGATGTGGTATATGTTTATTAGGTTCAACTTTAATTGTATTACATGCACCAAAAGAACAAAATTTAACATCATTACATGAAATGTGGTTAAGAGCTACCGATCCATGTAAGTTTTATATTCTATATTGTACATTCATAGCATTTTATCTTTTTACATAATTAATGAAGCATAAGAATTCCCAATTAGAATAATAACAGACTAAATTGATATGGCCAGAAAATACTTATTATTTGGATATCTATAACTTTGACATGATTGTACAAGTAAAATATCAAATCACAATCAATATTACAATTGATAAGTCTCAATGGGTGCATATTTAAGATTTTTTTAAATGCAAAACAGAGTAAACTATTCAATGGTTTACTGGGGTGTTACTTTCAGATCGATGAATGACAATCACATCAATTAATAAGTTAGAAAGGAAAGAAAGAACTTACAATTAAAATTATTCTCCAGAATAATGTATTACAAAACAATCATTTTAACTGGTTACATCATCAGGAACAAACAAAATAATTCACTAAATATCCAAGTTTTATAGTTTGGTTTGGTTTAGTGATTTATAGAAATCGATTAGATACGAACTATAAACGAAATTTTATTATTAACTGTTAGTAATTGAATAGTTGTTCATAGTTCAATTATACATCACAGATAACTGTTTCATTCCTAGTCGTAAAAGTTTTTAGTGATACTATATTCATTCGTGTAAAGTTTTTAGTGAAACATTGTTGCAGTGTCCTATGATTTTCCATAATTCTCCACTTCATATTCGTCTAATTTCCACAGTAACTTGAAGAAATTGGTTGCTCACTTGGATTAGCAGCTTAGTAATTAAGTAAACTAAACAAGCATCCATAATAGTAAAACATTGGTTTTAAGCCGATATCTAAACAAAATTAAAGAGGAAATAGGTGATTGATAAACGTATGTTGAAAAACTGACCGATATTATATCTTTCTGTACTTATTGCACACAAATCTATTTTGTCATTTTTTGGGTAATCAGCAATTTTTAACTAAACTCAGAAAGAAATATTACTTACTCATAACACCAGAAAATTGTTCCACATTTCTCACAATATAATATGATGTCTGTCCAATGTCCCTGAAGTATTTAGAAGAGAGTTTGATATTTCCCAATGAAGTAATCCTCTACTCATTCAAAGACTACTAACTACCCAATCCTAACTCAGTTTGGATAGTACCTCTACGTTCTAAATAGTAGTAAAATCTATACTATACCCCAGACTCTGATTGACACCTAAATTATCTTGAAGTATCTACATAAATAAACGCACAAATATTTTTTTAATGTATCACTAAGAATGCTAGGAATCTTATTCAACAGTTTTACAAGGGATATAAAATTTTTAAAGTTCAAAATCGGTTTTCCCTGTCAGTTCTTCAATTGTTCTATACACGATTCCACTTACTCTCCATGTTTTAATGCGTAGACTCACCAGTAAGCCGACGAAATGTTTCAATGGGACATCGAGGGTATGTACCCTTGTGACTTACAATTATGCATGTCGCCAACAACGTACTTCACTTCAGAGTTTACCTTGAACAGACAGAAAAACAAACCTGATTTATTAATGTTCCCAATACAATTCAGATCAAAAGATGAATGTATCTGACGTGTTTTTTTATTCAAACGAACTCATTCCTACTTCATAATGTCACAACAGATTATGTCTTAGTCAATTCAAAGAATTTATTTAACTCTTATGGCCCGAGATCTGACTTCGATTTGGACGAGCATATGAATACTCCATGAATATAGATCTTCTATTTAATTCTGTATGTTACACTTAGGTTAACCTGTTTGTGTGATAGAAATAATAAAATACAAAACACAGATTAATCTGTATTGGTTTACTTCATGCAATAGTTTATTCAGACAGAAATTAATTATGAGAAGCGGGAGAGTGAAGCGAGGCGGAGAAGACAACTGTACCAACTCCTTTTGATAATGCGTGAATCAATATCTACAGGCGGACATAAACGAGCTAAAGACTTGTGATAAATGAAGTAAGCGATAAGCACACACACACACTCATGTAAAAACAGTCAAGGTCAATGAGCGAACAATTGACAAGGTCAAAATGTGACTCAAGTAGAGCAAATTAATCGATTTGTCTGAAATCTAGGGTAACCGATGTGGGGTAACATTACACTCTACATGCTTTTTCTAAAAACTTATATGTAAAAGGACTGATGTTTAACATTCCTTTTCAATTTTCATACTAAGATATTGATGTTATCTTTGTCTAATCGTAAGTGTAAGTCCAAAAGCCTATGCGTTTATGTAATACATAAACGCATACACTTGGTTTCTGTGTCTATAGGTTCTTATCAATCATTTCACTTAAGAATCACATTCACTTTGATCAAAACTTAAGATAAAAATTCTTAAAAAAATCAACTTGTTTAGAGTTTGGAACTCTGAAGTTGTCACTTCAATATTCTTATATTTGACTCATTATACATTACATTAATGCATTTATTTATCTGAGTATTTTGTCCTTATATTTGATTGTTTTTCTTTTCAGCTTTCATTATCTACAGTTTATTCGTTATATTAATGTCCATTGTATTGATTTTTATTTTGGGTCCACGTTATGGCAAAACAAACCCAATTATCTTCACATTGGTCAGTGGAAGTATTGGCTCATTGTCAGTTGTTGCTTGTAAAGGTATTGGTGTAGGATTAAAAGTGAGTAGAAAATGAGCTTTGAGATGTTGGAGAAGATTTGTAGCTCAGGTGGATAATCTTGATACAGTTTTGTTCTGTGAGTTGAATGGTTTGGTCGTGGAGCTTTCATCGTTCTTCTGAACGACATCATCAGCACAAACTTCAGGTAGAAGTGAAGTGTTCGAGGTCTACAGGGCAATCTGTGAGCCATATGTGCAGAAATTTGAACATCACTTCTACCTGAAGTTTGTGCTGATGATGTCGTTCAGAAGAACGATGAAAGCTCCACGGCCAAACCATCCAGCTCAGAGAACAAAGCTCCATCAAAAAAGCTTCATATTTTCCTAAAAGACTTGTTGATTTATCCTTTGTATCCCTTATTATACTTAAATTACTTATAAATAGTAATTAAACTGTAATCCAGTAGCTCACTTTTGTTCTGCTTATCTTGGTGTTGAATTACGGATGAGGTAGAACACTTGAGTGTTTTTACCTATAGGTGTATACTCCTCAGATCAAAATACGTTTACAATCTGAAAATAAATTAAAATGATTGAATGTAACTTATTCGCAAAGTACAGTTTTCTCTGTTCATTTTTAAGTCTCAAACTTCAATTATCACGCCTAATTGTGCTACCCAGTTACGAAAACCTAACCATCACTCGATGGGTAATGTTATCTGGTGTAAGAGAAAGTTGGAAGGAATCTGGGAGTGGTCAAATGAAGACATGATATTAGTCAGCGAAGTCACTGACTGTTGAACTGATCTATGTTAGTAGATGCCGACTACCTGGTTGGTTTTCGTGTAATAACCACTATCAGCGATTGATTGGTTTCATGTCATCATGCTAATACGGTATAGCATTTTGGGCCAACGCACACTTGTGTAGTGCCCTACGTTGATTATGACTAACTGTAAATGAAGTAAGTGGGACAGAATTCGAATCCTCTACTAACTGGTTGAAAGATGAACACATTGGCAATTAAGCCGCCGTCCAACTGTAGAATTAGCATCCTCATAATATATAACATCCAAACTTGATGAGAAAGTGTTCTTGACGTTAATTCTATTTTAATGGTCGAGATCATGAGCCGTTGGATGCCGGCTCATGTGGTCTAGTGATTAGTGACTGGTAGATCCTGGGTTTGGATTTCGCGAGGAGGGATTGTGGGTGCGCACTGCTGAGTATTCCCACAATAGGACGAAATGGCCGTTCAATGCTTTCAGGTTTTCCATGGTGATCTAGTTTCAATTGACTCATGATCTCAACTATTAAAATTTCTATAATATCCACAAAACCCTTTCTGATATTAATTCTATTCAAATTGACTATTTTATGATCGAACGGAATTATCAAAAATATTGTTGTATTTTTTTAATCACATTTATTTAATAATTAGTATATGTCATTTACTTAGTTTCTTCGTATTTTTCCCACCAAAATCACTTTTTACACAAAAAATATTTTAGAATGCATTCACTGTTGGCTTTTCATCGATGTTCTCATCATGGTTTTTTTGGTTTCTGATGATCTGGCTTATTGTTGCAATCACAATACAAATGTATTATTTAAATCGAGCATTGGATTTATTCAGTACTGGCATAATTACACCGTTACTATATGTGTTCTTTACTGGCTTTGTAATTATTGCATCAACAGTGTTATTTCATGAATTGTATGCATTGAATTATATGGATTATGTTGGTTTAATATTCGGTTTGATATTCACAGTGTTAGGTATTGTTATGATTACTGTGCTAAAGGTGAGTGTCAGTATGTTGATTTGTTTAAGTGGTATACAACTTTGTACTAAGAATCAAATAATTTACTAATGAAGAAAAAAAAACAAAAAAAAAAGAAACCAATTTTTAAAACAAAAACCCGAAAAGTTTTTCACGCCTCTTCTCTCTCTCTCTCTGTCAGACGGAACTGAATTATGTGCTATCTATACTTGTGCAGTTTTGAGCACTAATTCTATGATATTAGAGACATTAGAATTGTTTTATTTGTGATTCAGTGTAACAAATTGATTTAGTTCGTTTAGCACATTAAGAGTGTTGTACATTTTGTCAAGGTTTTAAATGTAATTAGTCAGTTTGATCATCAGAAATCTTGTAGATGAGAAGTATCTATTTATAAATTATGAAAATTGGATCAGTAGTCGTATGCAGGTTCATATACTGAAAGAGTTAAGTCATACTTGTTGTGTGTTAGCAATAAAGATATTACCACATCTCTTATTTGCCTAAACATAAGCTGGTCCTGTTCTGAAATTAATTATTTAAACTACTGATCCTAAATACTTCAGTGATACGGTCTTTCATTATTAAGATATGCCTTGCTAGCAAACATCAACTATGATGAGACATAAGTCTAAAATTCTTGAAAATGAACTCGGGAAATCGATGCTTGGGTATTGGTTTCCTTTTACTGAGAACGTGTTGACTTTTTGGTATGTGTTTTTAATTAGGCTTGACTCAGATCAATATTGACTCCGCCTGTAGCTCTTCTAGGGTCACTGTTGGTCCCAAGCCTGGGTAAAGGAGGTGGGGTCGGTTACTCCGTCCCGTAGGAAACAACCTTGCTAAAAAAACGTTTAACAAATTAAACGTATGCTCCAGATCAATATTATGACTAATTAAATTGACCATGGCAAAATTCAGTATTATGACCTTTTTCGCATTATTATTGTGATTTGTTCAATAAGGCAATACCATGTAGTTGAAACTTATTTGGATTTGTTATTCCATCTCGTAAAATACCATATATATTTTAGTGTCTACTTATCTTATTGGTTTTACTAAGACATGAGAGTTGTCTTTAAAGTTTCATCTTGTTGCTTGTTTACCCATTATTGTCATCGCTGAAGTGTTTACTATTCGTCAATCTGTTTAGTCACTATATACCTGTTTTACATTAAAAGTATCCCTCACCATCTATAATTTGAACTTCGAAACAACTACGAATCATACCAGCTTACCTCTCTAGTTATACAACTTAATAAAGTATAATATTTTTGCATAAAAGAACAATGATATAAGTAATCACTAAAATCTAATGAAATTGATGACGTATAACATTACTTGTTCATGAGTTTAGTAAAATGCAACGCAGGTTTTCTTTTAATTTCATCTCCATCTTTTTAATATGATCTACTGAATTGGGCGACTGCAGACGAATATCATGTAGCTTTGAATGGTATCAGTTATCATTCGTCAGCAAAATGTATCTCCAATTTCATGAGAATTTTTACTCGATTTTTATGTGATTCATAATTGTTTAATCGAAACTTGTTCGGTGAATTTCAACAGCCGTAAGAATCACTCTTTTAATGGTTGATTAGTGTAGTACCTTTTTTGTCCATGGTTGAAGGTAGAAAGTTAGTTTTTTGTAATTTTTAATTTAATAGTAAATCATACAGTAAAGAGTAAGATTTCTATTCGACGTTATTAGTTAAAACAATACAGTTGGTTTGTTAAGATATATACTTACGATAATTGTTCATGAGGATCGTTTAATATGAATTTAGTTTTTTGTTGTCTTTATAATAATCATCATCTGTTCAGTGTTGACCAACTTCGAAAGATAATCTTGATGTCCTCATGGAAAATCGTAATCAATAGGGAGATAAACCGGATTGGAAAGGAGACAGTAACTTACCAAGGATACTACATGATGGTCATTTTATGTTGTGCACTCATTGAGGTAAAGAATGTAGATCTTTGAATCCTGACTGGCTGATCTGGAGGGACTATGTTTATCGTGTTACCTGAAGACCCGATTCTTGTGATGATCATGAATATGCAATGTTGAGCTAAATACTATTAATGTTTAGTCTATCCTGGTTTTTAGTGATTGCATGGTTGACACAAATCTTTGAGAAGATTCAATTAAATCTAGAGTCATCTTTATAAATCTGTTAACCAAGTAGTACTATCTTATTTGAACCATAAATTAACGGATGATCTGCAAAATAATAGAATTATCAACTGAATCAATGAAATGAAGTATTGTAATCCGTTCATTCTTATATTTCCCATTGTACACATCAGTTTAGTCATTTTTAAATGTTATTCGTACTTTTAAATTTGCAAAATAATTCACCATATCTTCATTATGTTTGTTTGCTGCTGTTGTAATTGTGTGTTGCTATGTTTTTTCTCTCACTGTTTTGTCAGGATTGCAATTTCTCATGGAAGAGTTTACGAACATTGTTTCAGGCAAAGCATTCAAGCTACTCGTCATCAAACAGTTCATTTGGCATGCACAATAAACTTTATCGTCGTATTACTGCATTCAAGCCAACATTGAATGAATGGAAAACTCAACATAGTAGACATTTATCATTTGATCAATCGAGTACCGAAAAGTTAATCTCTGACCATCATTCTGACTCTGAAGTCACTGATGTTGTGCAGCTATTGCCGCATATAACTAGTCGTAATATTAATCAAAATGGTCATTTGATATCAGGTAAGGCAAGAATAACAAGAATTCAAACATTTTCTGATTCTCCACATTCTTATACTCTGACAAATGAAATACTTTCTGTTTCTAGTTAATCTAACACTTTGAGACAAACTAAACAAGATTCATTTCATTTATAACAAAGACAATCATCGTAAATGTGTAGTTATCCTCATAGGTGGAAGATATATATATATATATATATATATATATATATATATATATATATATATATATATATATACTCTCAAAATCACGTTATATGTCACATTTTTATTCGTGCTTTAAGTTACTTCTATTTTCAACCGTTCCATTTAGATCATTCAACTTTCCATATGTACTGTGAATCCTTTTCATTATTTTTATCATCACTATTTTTCTTTTTTTCTTTTTTTCTTTTTGTTTGGAATAATTCTAATTTGATTTTGTATAGGACAGTATTTTCTAATTGTCAATAAGTAGTATGAGTTGATTTATTTTTATTGTTGTTGCTTTCCCCCCGCCCTCCCCGATATTTATCAAACATTAACCACTTATACTTTTATTATTGATTATCTAATTGTAATATTTACAATAAATTGAATTAATCTTATTAATTTTGTAAATTTTATTAACATTATTTAAGTAAATTATTCAGACTACTTATTAATTTACTGAATAATTTACTTGATTATTATTTAGATATCTATTTACTTATTCATTCATTCATTCATTCATTGTTATTTACAAACACTGATATGTAAACAAAATGAATAAGATTTGAAATTGCAGTTTAGTATTGTTGTTTGTTTGTTTGTTTTTCTATGTTTTTTTTCTTTATATGAATTTTTTGTTTCAATTTTAGAATTTAATAAATAAAATTATAACCACAGAAGAGTTGTTATGGATATTATAGTAATTTCAATAGTTAAATTCATGATTAGACGGTGGAGCGATTTCGTGGATTAGTTCAAGTTAGACATTAACACAGTCGGATATTGACCGTCTCAGTGGTCTAGTGATTAATCGCTCGCACGCGAGACTGATAAGTTCTGGGGTTTGAATCTAGCGAGGCAGGATCGTGGATGCGCACTACTAAGAAGTCCCACAATAGGACGAAACGGTCATCCAATGCTTTCAGGTTTTCCATGGTGGTCTAGCTTCAACTGACTCATGATCTCAACTATTGAAAATAGTAAATGATTGTCAATCTTAATATCGTCGATCAGTTATTACAATTGATGCAGAGCAAAGATAAGCATGTCATATTGTATATGAGATGTAAGTTTCAATAGATGTTATCTCATTTCAATGAGACCCTGAGAACTTTGTTCTCTGATTATTCAATAATAACTTCGAGTTAATAAATGGAGTTTTCAATTTAAATGACTGAGCTAATATAAACTGGCCGATAATATCCATAAAATTCAGAGTAAATATTACAAAACAATAAGTAACTTGTCGGTCGGTCGACGTAAGCCCTTGATGTTAGTATGATATTATAACCAATGTGTCATTGATAAATACTACCATGTAGTACACCATTATTGTTCAAAAAGTAACCACGACAATTAATAATTGAGTTTAAGACTGCTTTCCTTTCTCAATATCATACTGTTTAATATCAAGCGAGAGATTTACCAACTCTGCAATCATTCATAATCTCAGTGATTATTTTAAACTTTCTCCCATTACTAGCATAAATTTTCACTACCTAATTTGTTAAACATTTGACTAAGTTCCAATCAAGTACTTTCACTCTACACTCCCATTCTACGAAGAAATATCTAACAGTTTGTTTTATTAAAATGGGAATCCTAGTTACATTTTCTTTTCTAAACAAATCGGATACAACGATAATCTAGCTGAATACCTGATTCAATTTGTTTGCTTCTGATTAAAATCATTTCAGATGGTAATAATAATCCATTCATTCGACATCATATATTTGATTACAGTAAAGAATTCTCAGCATAAAATATAGAAGTTACAACAAACTTCTTATTTTAAAAACATTTAAGATGTAAATAGTTAAAATGTATAAATCAAGTTTTTAAATAGTAATTAGGAGCCATTCATATTCATTCAAAAACATTTATGATCAGTCTTGTTCCCGTAACACCTTTGTTCATTCATTAATACATTAGATGTATAAAATCTGTTCTAATGACTTTTTATTTTTGCAAATAAATTTAATTTGTAGACAAAATTGGTCAGTGAGACTATAATTTATGGATGACCTTTGAGCGACGCTAGACTGACCTTGAAAAAGTCCATCTACTTACTAGAGCTAAATGACGGTTATAAACCTGTATGGAGGATAAAGATTATGATTTATAGTTGATGGTTAATGTTAGAAATTAGATTTAGGGTTTTCATCACGAACTGACATCAGCTATAATTCCAAAAAGCTCTATTTAACCAAATGGGTGAGTGGATTTCGCGCCAAAATCCCACACTTGTTATCTTATACGTGTTCATTCATTCACTTAGGGTGATTTTTTATTTTTATATATCACATTGAAATTTCCAATAAAATACATTAGTTAGTTCAATATAGTTTCATTCTTTTCAGAACGCGAAATCACTTTAGTTATTTATTTTTAAATATGTACTATTTAAAACGGGACAGAATTTATTTGGAATGTTTCCAATGTTTAATAAATAGGTTGTATTGAATACTTTTAGTTGCTTAAGTTTTACTGAGTGAGTGCTGAATATTGGAGTGTAGTTTTCACCAAATGTTTCATTCCAGGAGTCTACCGTTATCTGCAATTCGCTGATTTGAATATTTTTGTGTAGTGCACTCCAAAATGTCAGATGAATCAGTCAGTCAGCAACAGCGTAGAACTCAGCACGTACATACATAAGTTCGAGTTGCCATATTAGCACACAGATACAATCGTCTATTCAAATCCCATAGTGGTAGATGTAGTAAGAGTATAAGCAGTAATCGGAAATATTAGGGTTTGAAAATGTTATTGAAGGAGTATAATCCAGTGAAATAGATCTGGGAAGAGAAAAAAGGGATATGAAGAATTTAGAAGATTAGAATTTGGGAGGACACAAGGAATGGATG